GCCGTTTCAAATCTCCTCTCTCTTTCTGTTGCGAGGGTTTCCGGGTGACCCGATGTCATCATCACCTCGGATGTGAGGACATTGTGGAGCTCAGAACATAAAGAACATTATTTTTTTTAGCACTAAAGAAAAAGTCCACTTTATTGAGTTACTGGCTAGTAACACTGTTTTAAGATCTTAGATTAAACATTGATGTTTACATATGATATTGAGTTTCTCTGGGATGGAGGCTCTGGTTCCGGGAGAGGAGCAGTATCCTCCCAAGTGTTTTACAGAATGCCCCAAATCTTTAACAACAATCCTGGAGAGCATTAGCTGCATGTCTGGGTCATTTGTCCTGGTCTGATCCTGTGTTAGAGAGAAACACACAGTTTTATTGTGTTTCTTTGATGCAATGCTTGAATCCCACTGCATTGCCCACGCTGTCCGCACGTTGAATACATCTGCATCTGCATATGAAACGGCCTGATCGTACAAATACATGCCAGTTATGACCGATGATTGAATTTGTGTGGTGAATCCGCTTAAAGCAGTGTGGATTATTGGCACAAGAGTTTCTGATTATTTTAGACTGTTGAGACACAGATGACATCTGCCAGTGCATGCTGAAACATGCCAGATAATGGAGATGTTAGTCCTCACATTATCTTCAGTTGCTCCTCAGTCATTTAATACAATGTTTAATTGGTCCCTGCGAAATGAAAGGTCAAGTTTCACTTGAGTTCAGTGGCGAAGTTGTGGCCCAGGGAGCATCAGAAGTCATGCGTGGTTTTCATCAGCTTGATTGACATGGAATAATAAGTGCACACGGGGAATGTGGCGTTGTGCATGCAACATTAACCACACAGAGTTTGTGACCAAATGCTAGATGGCGTGTGCTCTACCAGATATCTGATGAAAATAACGGCAATAACAGTGATGCCAGTGTGGGAATTGACGTACCTTTTGTTATTATTGTACAATAATGAAAACTAATGACACTCTTAATCTTTCTTTGTTTTAGGCTGTTTTCAGCTGTATTCAAATAGGTTGCAGATATTCCACAGGTTACCTTTTAGTTTAACGTTCAGAAGTATTTTGCAGAGATCCATGCTGAAGTCCTAACATTGTGTCCTGTTCAAACAGTTTTTAAACCATCAAAAATGCAGCGTCTTCGAGGGGGAAAGCCAATCAGAATTCAGTGAAAGCTTTACATAAAATAGCTTCCCGTTGCTGTTTATTGTCTCAAACTTTCATAATCCCTTTAAATGTAATCTTCTATTGCCACTTAGTCAGTCCTGCTAATAAAATGTGGTTTTATCCAGACTGCTGCAAAGTCGAGAGCCTGATCTGCTAGAAGCATCCTCCAAAAACATTAGGACGACATCAATTATTTACAGGGTTGTTTTCTAGGGTATTTTTTTACAATTGAAAGGTAGTTGTTTATTGAGAATGCTGTTCCTCTTTTGAGTAGTGGGGGTGTACAGTGAACTTTAAATTGTCAGGCTATTGCATGCAGCAGAAGATATACTGTCAATACAAACAATGGCTTTCCAAATAAATTGAGCTGAAACTTGAGGGGGCAGGGACGAAAAGGTTTGGTTCCTCTTCACTTGCTGCTATATAAAGTATATCACCCACTTCTCTATAGTGGAACCACAAACAGAACACAGTTTCTATTCAAAGGAAGGCCAGTGTCGATGTGGTGGTCATGTATTTCAACGTCTGCGCTAGACGAACGAAGAAGAAGAAGAAGATTTTGGATATCAGTGGCAAGAAAATCTCATGTATTGCCCTTAAAACGTTCAGTTACCTTTCTGCACTTGTTTCTGATTGAATCATGTCAATCAAGCAAATTGATGATCCAAATTCAGTACAGTCCTGACCAATTAGGAACCGTAAAGACTAATAACTTTGGACATTTAGGCTTTTTTTTTCTTTTGTTACTGCTATTTGAGTTTATTTTGTCCCTTTTTGATCTGCAATGCCAGATATGTGTAGACTCCTCACAAAAGCGTCGTTTTCATCAGATAAAATTGTTTGATTTAACCCTGCGAGTGCCTTGGATGGACGAGACAACAGCATGATTCTGTGATCTGTAGGCGTAGTGGTCTATAGGCATAGGTGGCCTGTTAGCTCACAATGGCAATGCATGTTGTTATGAATCAGTTATGATAGCTTGCTATTGTAATGCTAACATGACCAAAAAAATTGAAATTGTAGCATATTTTTTCAGGTGCCACTTTCATTTTCTAGTTCTTGACTCCATGTGTGTATTTTTTGGCGAAGTGCATCGGGTATTGACTAGTGCTGTTAAACTAGGTTGTTGAAGCAAGCAGTTAAACCATGACAACACAATATTTCCGCCTCATTTGTCCGTGTTGCCTTGTTGTTACGATACTGTCAATGACACAACTCTCTCAAGTCATAGATTAGTTTCACCTATTGGAGCCATAGAGTGACCAATAAAGCACTTGACTGAATACCACATAGAAGGAGGATGGCTGGAGGATGGGTTGCTATGGAAACAAGGACTGATGGGGGTCTTTAGAAGCTCGGCAATATGTGATCTGCACAAAGCGAGTGAGTGAGTGATAAGTGTCCAAGTTCTCCGTGGTGGGGAGCGAGAGTGTTTCTGGCGCAGCCTGGAAGTTTGGCTGTCTGGGACTCGTTTTTATTTAAATGAATCTGCGGCCAATGATCTACACTTTCTCTTTGAGACAGCGGAGAAAATTGATTGCTCACACCTTTTAAAGGCATTGTTAAACTTGCACCCAATGCTGCACCTAATAATCGCAGATCGGCCAACATCATTTGTGCCCACTTGGGGTAAAAGATCTTTGAGAACATTCGAAAGCTCCCAGAGTGAAACATGCGCAGGGTTTTAATGCCTGAAGCCGTGGCACCGTACAGAGGCTTCTCTATGTGACCCAGGACTCAGTGTGTCAGATGAGGAACTGCACACTGTCATCACAAACAACATAATTCACTTTATAGTCCAATGTTTCATATATTATTCAATCATACATGAACTCAATCTGTATGTAACAGCCATCCTTTTAAAGTTTTTGCACATATTCAATCTGCATACACATGATGTGGGCTAATAAGTCGTGTCCACGGTATCGGTTGAACATGATCATTATTATAAAGCTGATAAACTTTATTTTTTCCAATTTAACCATTCTAGGTCAATAAAAGAAGCAATAGGTTACATACTTTCTCTACATGTGATATTCCTGGTATTGCAAATAAATCTTTAAAGCTTCAAAATATGTATCGTCTTGATTTGATAGGTGGTGTTTAATCCTGACTATGGCCCCGCATACACACACACACACACACACACACACACACACACACACACACACACACACACACACACACACACACACACACACACACAAATCCTGCCTGTTTCAAGTATGTTAACCCAAGACCCTTCTTGTATTGACATTTAGATTCATGTGGATTTTGAACATTTCGTCCAATATGTGCCCATCACCATCAAATGTTGTGAGCCTCAAGCTCTAGGGGGAAGGTTGCAGAGTGAAATGCCGTCTATGTCAGCTGGTTTCAGAGCATTACGTGGACAAAGTCACACCAGCAAACCAACGTGCCTGTTGTTTACAAAAAAAGGTTCACACCGTGACATGATTGTCCTTCCCACACTTAACAGTGTTCTCACATATTCATGCCAGATCAACTTTAAAATGTTAATGCCCCACGTCCTGGGTGGATGTTATTTTAAAGAAAACCAGTGAAAAACTGCAGCTTCAGATTAAATACATTATAGTTCATTTCTTAAAAAAAACTTTTTATCCATTTTTAATGGTCCAAAACAAAAACTTGGATGACTATTCTCTACCATGTGTCCTACACCACTATTACAACTGTAATGAGACTACAAGCACAGAGGACTGATCAAATGATCAAATGCATATAACAATAGCGTGAAAAACAACCATTAACTTATCTCCTTTAGAACGTCATTTTTGGTTAACAGATCCGTTTTTGTTCTCTCTTCAGCAAAATGGAGTGTGAGTGCAGGCATGAAAGGGAAACAAATATTTCTTGTTACTTCCTCAACTCCATTTTTATGTAGTGTGTGTGTACGTGTGTGCGTGTGCATGTGTGCGTGTGTGTGTGTGTGTACGTGTGGTAGCAGTTCTGCTCCGCTGCACCTGTTCTTTATAGGCTACACGCACGAGAGAGGACATGCAGGGTAAAAGCTTGACAGGAAGAAGCCTCATACCGTATTGAGAGAGACAAACGGTTTCAGCTCGAGTTGATTGACGTCAGTTTTGGTCAAAGGACGTGCGTCTGCAACGAATTATGACAGAAACCTGCAGATTTTTACCTGAAACAAAACCCACTTTTGTGGTAAGTTGCATTCACAACTTAAGATAATGAAACATTTTAGGAGTTAAAAAAAGGGAAGCACGCTGCTTCACACTCTTCGCACACTTTGTGAAAGTAAGAATACCTGTTTCAATATACTATATCGGTAGTTATTTAAAATGTGTCTGCTGCTGTTGTTCTTATTCACATATTGTTTTTAATTCTGGTGTAGGAGTGCATTTGCAGAACTATGTATGTTTGTGCTTCAACGTATGTGGCGGTGCGAGACAGTTTACACTTATTTCACCTATTTTGGCAGCGTAAGCCAGGAAGACCCCCTCCCTCTGTGTTAACACTGTCTGTTGTGAGCGAGTGCAAGCTGGATGTGGTGAGCAGTCTGCTATGGAAATATTTAGGGAAACTTTGGAGCGGAAAGTGTGTAAAGGAAAGAATAATAATGAAAGAAAGTTACAAGGCATTATTCTAACACTAAAATATGTCAGACCTGCCTGCTGTTTCATCGTTGAAATGAAATACTTATCATAGCTTTCTTTGAATCAAAGTGTTTCCGTGTACAAGCAGTGACAAGCAGCTGTGGGATGACCACTGTCGACTTACGATGTTATCAGTCGTGGGAGGATGAGGTTGAGAAATACATTTTGTTTCTTTTTGTATCGTAGGAGGCCACTGGACCTGACCAAGAGGGAAGCAGCAGGCACTGAAGAGTGCAGACGAATGGATGCCATGTTAGAGAGGTTGATAGAGCCTCTGCTACAAAGAGGACTTGGGCTCCAGTGAAAATCCTCTCGTCCTTACTCCAAAGGAATGAGCGCGGCACAACTGGAGCATCACCGAAACCCACATCTGCAACCCTAAACGAACCCCTGCAAACAGCTGGATATTCTCCTCGATTGTCTTCATTCACGCTCAAACACTCATTGGGATGTAGTTTGGCGTCTCGTAGAGAGGTCCAAAGTTTTAGTAAATGTAACCATCTTAAGTGGTGTGAATGAGAAGTGTATTGGTTGCTTTCACTCAGAGACGTTCTACATCTTAGCGTCCAGTTCTCCCGTCTCACACCAGCACCATAAAGACCAGGACAGACGTCTCACTGGGAGAGCAGAAAGCTGTCCTGGACCGCAGTGGAGATACGATACTGTTGGGCTGGAGTCGTTTTTTCCCTCAACATGCAGTCAGATGACCTCTTCATTCGCAAGTTTCGCCGTCAGAACATGCGGCCGCCTATTGCCACTGTGAGCTTTGACCCCAACAGGGAGGCTAGTCTGGTGGAGTGGCCGCCAAGGAGGGAGGCGGACGGAGCCGAGGATGACAGCCTCACTCCGAGCCGCGTGGGGCTGCCGCTGAGGTCGGTAGGCCGCGGCCACATCATGCAGAGAAGTAACAGCGACGTGACCTTAGGAGACTTGGACTCCTCCGGGAAGGCCGGCGGTAACGCCGCTCGGGTGGTCGGTGAGAAGGCGGGTGCAGGGGCCCAGGGGGATGGCGGTGTGCTGCTACACAGGGAATACGGCAGCCTGTCATCCCTTGAGAGACAGACCCAAGCACAGGTGGCAAATGCAGAAAACCAGGGGCCCCTGAGTCCAAACGCCCTACGCTTCAAAGACCCTTTCCTGCTCCTGGGCCTGCAGGGAAACCCTCCGGAGCCCGATGGATTCTTTCGGGGTCTGTCTCTTCCCGCGGGGGACTCCCCAAAACCTGCCAAGCCACCAAAGCCCGAAGGACTAAGTAAGAAGACCAAACCCCCTCATATCCCTCAACCAGGTCCGTACGACAACATTGGGGGTGGGGCCTGGGTGAGGAACTTTGCCCACTACGATGTTCAGAGCATCCTGTTTGACCTCACCGAGGCAGCCACAAACAGAGACAGCATCGGACGGAAGAAAAATATCACCTCAGGGGCTTCGGCCGCCTCCCAGCTGCGCCCCCCGTCCCAAGCCACCCCGTCCTCTCCTGCACAGGGCGGGGGAGGCAACGGGGTGAATGCAGATGACCCCGAGCAGTCGCTGCTCCTGGACGAAGGGGACGGCAACGATAACGAGCTGCTGCTCAGCTGCCCGCACTTCCGCAATGAGACGGGGGGAGAGGAGCAGGTGGGTCTCGATCAAGCCCAGGAGAGGCGCGGTCTGTCGTCCAGCCTGAGAACCCCCAACGATGCCGTGTCGGTCCTGGAGGAGCCCAGAGAGAGTCACGTTCAGCAGCAGGGCAAGAGCAACTACTTCATAGAGCATGCAGATCTGGGAGCCCACTACTATCGCAAATATTTCTACATGAAGGGTAAGTGATGAAACTCAAAAAACGTTTTGTCTCAAAATCATTACTGCACAGCTCAACTGGAGTGGAACGTGTGGTCAATCATTGGTGAACCATCACAATTCAATTAGTCATTTCATAGAATAAAAGGCAAGATTCAACCCCCCTCTATGACCTAATACTGTACATACGGTTCTCTTTGAGTGTCATATTTGACCACAGCGCTGTCACGGTTGAATTTGACTGTATTGTTATTGCAGAACACCAGAATTTCTTCGGAATGGACGACCGTCTCGGCCCAGTGGCCATCAGTTTCCGCAGGGACGAGAAAGAAGGATCCAGCGGAGCTCAGTACAATTACAGAATCATCTTTCGCACCACGGAGGTAAAGCAGCCCTCTCCTCAATTTCATTTTTTTTGTGTGAAACTGGATGTGATGACCGCGAATCGTCTCCCCAGATGAAGACGCTGCGAGGTTCCATCTTGGAGGAGTCGGTGCCTTCTGCCGCTCGTCACACGACCCCCAGGGGCTTGTCTCCCAAGAGGCTGCTGGAGTTCATCATGCCTGAGCTGAACCTGCACTGCCTTCGCTTGGCTTCGAATTCCCCCAAGGTCAGGGACACCCTGCTGAAGCTGGACGAACAGGGGGTGAGTAAGGATACTTGTGCTGACACCAGAGGAAGTCGGAGGAAAAGTTTTTCAGGGCATCAGATAGTGACCAATAGCTCTTTTTCAAAGGTCAAACACAGCCATTTTTGTTAAGCAGAAGTCCGCAGTTCCACAGGGAACAATCAGGTGTTTTTAGATGTGAAGTGAATAAATGTGTTATTACTTTTTCCTCTCTCAGCTTCCTCTTCCACCGTTATAACTTCACTCATCATGTAGGAATATTTCATCTGAGGCTACTTATTTTAAATGTAAAACTAGGGCTCAGAAAAGATTGTTTTTGCACAGTGGTGTTTTAAAATATTTCTCTTACCATTTACAGCCCAAAAATCCTTCACTGACCATTAGTCACTCCATTATGTTGATTGATTGATTAAACAATTAAGCCCATCACTTATTTTGCAGGAGCTGCAGAACATTTATACACAAATTCTAGCTTCATCTTTAGAGGAAGTTACTTCGGAAAAGGAGTGAACAACTTTGAACAACTTAAACTCTCAGTTTGCAGTATGAAACCTGATAGAAAACAACAGGTCTAATAGTGCAATGCGTGCCGTGCAGGTTTATACCTTTTTACCACATACATTCCCTCAGACAAGCTTTTAAGCTCTAAAGCGAGACGTCACATAATCAGGATGCCCCATTAGGTGAAAGGTCTTGGCAGGATAATAATATATTCTCCACTTCTCCGTCTTGTAATGTAGCTGAACTTCCAGCGGAAGGTTGGCGTGATGTACTGCCGGGCCGGGCAGAGCTCAGAGGAAGACATGTACAACAACGAGAGCTCCGGCCCAGCGTTCGAACAGTTCCTGGATCTGCTCGGGGAGCGTGTGCGGCTGAAGGGATGGGAGAAATACAGGGCTCAGCTGGACAACAAGAGTGAGCACCACATCCGCATCCACTGGCTGTACCTCACCTTGTCGCAGGGCCGTTATCCGAAAGGGCATCAGCGCGCCGCTGAGAGCCGCAGATAAGGCCTCTCCAGCCGCGTGCAATCTGAGTAACGCCCGCAAAACAGCATAGTCACTGTTGATTATCTCAGAGCTGTTTTCCTCTCAGCGAGTGCCAGAACACAGCAAATTTCACCCCGACTGTGACGATTTGAACTGAGTCTTCAGAAATGTTGACTGACTTAATCCCCCGTCTGTCTTTCTCTTTGCGTGATGTGTGTTTCCGTGTGTCCTTTGCTCTCGTAGCTGACTCAACTGGGACGCACTCCCTCTACACGCGCTACCAGGACTACGAGATTATGTTTCACGTGTCGACTATGCTGCCCTACACATCCAACAACACGCAACAGGTAAAAACCATTATAACGTTTTAGGTAAACCCTTTCCTTCTCGCATTTTGTGTTGCAGAATCCCTTTTAGGAACCACAGTTTTCACGTTTCACTGCTTTTTCTAAAATAAAAGTACACGTTCATGTTGTGGAGATGGCGAACTGAGTGTGGTTCCTTCTTGGTGGAGTGAAATCAATGTGTCTGTCTCTGATTTTCCTCTCCAGTTGCTGAGGAAGCGACACATCGGTAACGACATTGTGACGATCGTGTTCCAGGAGCCGGGCGCTTTGCCCTTCACCCCAAAGTCCATCCGCTCCCATTTCCAACACGTCTTCATCATCATTCAGGTCCATGAGCCCTGCACTGAAAACACCTATTACAGGTCTGAACATACCTCCTAATGCTCTTATACATACAATACATCTTAAACAAGTCTTAAAAATACCTTTTTATAGACTGAAGTCTCTTGAGACAATAAAAGGAAAACAAAAATAAAGAATAGATAGTCCGTTTGTGTCATTCATGGGGCATATAAATCAAGGTAAAGGTGTTGCTATGTGCACTCTTATACATGTGTCTCATGCATCGTAGTAGTGGCATCTCAGGAGGAAACATTCTGTGCTCCACTGCAGCAGATTCTGTTTAAATGTTTGTTATTCTCGACGACAACTCGCGAGTCCACAGTCGAGCTCTGAAAAACCAGACATAGATTCAATGCTTCCTCCGTCTCCTACTGTAACCTTCCTGTTCCCCCCCCCTCTCCTCCTCAGAGTGGCTGTGACACGCTCTAAAGACATGCCATTATTTGGCCCACTCTTCCCCAAGGGCGCCCGATTCCCCAGCTCCCTCGCCTTCAGGGACTTCCTGCTGGCGAAGGCCGTGAATGCCGAAAACGCGGCGGAGAAGTCGGAGAAGTTCCGCTCCATGGCCACGCGCACGCGGCAGGAATACCTGAAGGACCTGGCTGAAAACTACGTGACCACCACCCCCATTGATTCCTCCACCAAGTTCCCCCTTCTCTCGCTGGGGGGTAAACGCAAAGACAAGCTGAAGGGCGCGAAAGGGGCCGAGCTGCACAGTGCCGGCGCGCTGGTGTGGGCTGTGATGGTCAACAGCGGAGAGGAAGGGGAGGCCGTAGAGCTCCGGCTCCCCTGCCTGCTGGGGGTGTCCGCGGAGTCGGTGGTGCTCATTGAGAGGTGCACGCGCAGGGTGGTGTTCAACTGCTCCTGTCGAGATGTCATCGGTTGGAAGGCAGTGGCAGAGACTAAGGAGGGGGGGCCCTGCCTGGACATCTTCTACGAGCGCGGGGAGTCGGTGTCCATCAGCGTGACAGAGAGCCAGGCGGAGGATATACGAGAGGTGGTGCAGAGGCTGGAGGTGTGTGATGGCGTCCGAATTTTCAGATTTCGCATCGGGTCGTTCGAGTCTTTTTTCCGATTTCACGCTCATCTCCTTCTGGTCATCCGGCAGCTGGTGACACGCGGCTGTGAGGCTCTCGAGGTCACCCCCCTGCGCGACGGCGTCGGACAGCCCGGCTTCCTGATGAACGAGGAGGGCTTCGTGACGGAGCTGCAGCGGTTCTGCTACGCTGAAAGCGGAGGCCTGCAGCTGTGGGCCCGCGTGGTGCGACTGTGCGGACACTCGCTGGTCCACCTGAGCCCCGAGGAGAGAACCAGGCTGCTGCGCACCGCGCACAAGATCCACATCACCGTCATCCCACCCGACGAGAACGGCAAGCCACGCAGGTGGGTGAAGGAGGAGGAGGAGGAGGAGGAGTAGTGGGGTCACTGGGTCACGGTAGTTCCGGAAAACAAGAGAGGCGCCACTGTGGGTCTCGGCTCCCTCTCCGCCGTTGATTAAGGCGTGCCATCGTTACACCAGCTGGTTAACAACCAATCAATCCCTCTAATGATCTGTAATCACACTGGCAAAGGGGGTCCCACTGTTAACAGCACACTGCTGAAGTCACACACAGGGCAGAATTATTCAAACCAAGGAAATCAACGTTCAAGTGGACACTTTCGCAGGCTCTTAACTTTGGGATTCAACTGGTTTATTTATATTTGAATTTTTTTACATAAGAACAAATTGCCGTAGACGCCGGAGGTCTTGTGAGAAAGTGTTCCCAAAGGGTGGCAATAGGCAAATATAGCGTTTCTTTCCCATCTCTTGTGTCTGAGTCGTCTTACTGAGTGTGTTGTTGATTTATGCTCTGCAGAAGTTTCTCCGAGCTCTACCAGAAAGCCATCAAGGACGTGGAGTGTACACCCGGCGAGGATCAGTCTGGAGAGGCGTGGGTACTGGACGAGAGGGAGGAAGAGGAGGAGGAGGAGGAGGAGGAGGAGGAGAAGGAGGGCGGGGAGGTTGGGGAGGAAGAGGAAGCAGAAACAAAGGAGGAAAAGCTGAAGGCGAGTGGCGTCGATGAAGCGGACGCGGTGGAAGAGCAGGTGGCGTTCGAGGGCGGCGGAGGACAGTCGTGCGATGAAGGGCAAAGTGAGAAAAGCCCCGGCTCGCTCCTCACTCCGCCCGGCTTACCGTTGTTACGGGCCACGTCTCTGCAGGACCAACCGGCCGCTCAGAGCCCCGAGCGCAGCGACTCGCAGCTCCCCCGCAGCTGCTCCTTGGAGAGGCAGCCGACCTACAGGGATGCGTGTGATGGGTGAGGGTCACTGGAGGTCATGTCACTATTGGGCACACAGTTCTCCTTCTCTCGTTATAGAGAGATAAGTGGAGGTGAAAAAAGGCTCTTTAATCATCCGGCATGGCTGAAAATATCCTGAAACTGAAGCTGAGGCATCACAATTTGATCTCACAGTCATAGTGCTTCACTCTGCAAAAGACCAGGTGATGTGACACCAAGCAGTTTGTCACTCTGTCGCTTCAATGAACTGTGTGCAACACGTTTTAGATTAGAGCACATTAGAAAGTTCACATGGATGTTGCTTTTACAAACGCGAAGGAAAAAGTGATGTTTTTCTATTCTGCACATGTAGATAGTGATCAAATATTAAAAGGAAAATAGACATAAAAAGAAAATCTATTTTAGTTTAGACTGAGATGTCATTTTAATTACAACAAAAAAGCCCACCGTTTAACAATCTGCCAGGTATTACCTCATCCTCCTGAATGTCAGTCTTCTTTCTGTCAGTAACACAGACGTCTGCCAATTATTAAGCTCCGAGGAGAGAGAAAAACACCTATGTGAAATTTGAAGGACATCTGTGTGTCAGCCAAACAAATTATTTCAAGCACACTGTGGGTTTCACACTGAAAGCCCCAAAAAGCTTGAATCAGAAATGGTGCATAAAAAGGGTAGAATCAAACCACAGTGATTGGCACTGATTTTCATTGTCGTGCAAAGCAGAACTGAATCATTTGACCAGAACTGCAGAACTTGCATTGGATAAACAAATGTCCCAACGCATCAACAACAGATTTTCTTTGTGTTCCCCCCCCCCCCTTCACCACAACCATCACATTACCCCCCTCTCGGTCTGCGCAGGCACGTGAACGACCACGTGGGGCTGAAGGGAGAACACCACATCTACGCCAACGTCTGCGAGCTGAGGGACGCCACACCTGATCTGATCCTGGCCGTCAAACCCAAAGCTCCCCAGGAGGACCAACAGGTGACGGACTGAGACGAGAGGACATCTGAGCGGTTTCTCTCCCCGGCGTTCCATCCGCTCTCTGACAGCGTTGTTTCCCCTCTATCTCGATCTCTCGTGTCTGCAGTTGATGGCCGCCGAGTTCGGGGATGACAAAGCGTCAGTGAGTGACTCGTCTTCCCGGTTGTCGTGTTTAGACCGCGCAGAAAGAAACTCACGAGCCATAAGTCTTCATAACTCCATCACCAAGAGTAAGTACTACCCTATTGCTGCTGAATATATATATATATTGATATATATATATTGATATATATATTGATATATTAATATATGTATATTACCGTAAATGTGAAAATGCCAGCATGTTTAATATTAATGTAAATGAATTGCATGACAAAGGGCACAAAGAGATTCAAAACAAAGCCCCATTCTCAGACACAACAGCTGACATCACTGCTAAAATGATGCCAAAATGAGACAATTACACATGTTTTCAAATCATCTCTGCACGCTTTAAGCCTCAAAGTCCTATTTTCCAGATTTTTTTCCGCCTTAAACCCGTCTCTTCATTATCCTCCCTCTGCTCCCCGCTGCATCCCCTTTGTCCCTCCTCTTTCATCTACGCTGCCCCCCACCCTGCTAATCTAATATCACCCCTGCTCTGCTGCCACCCCCTGCCAGGGCTGCTATAAAAGGGGGACAGATGGGTGGTGGGAGGGGTGGAGTTTGAGGCAACCCCAAATCAAGGAGCCCCTCTTACACCATCTGCTCTGCCTCTGCTGAGAGCATGAGACTCATCATTTTTCAGCCATTAGAGCGCGCTTGCTCATCCTCTCTTGTGATTCTTCTGATTGTTGCGGGGGCGGACCGCGAGGACTCTGATTGTTTCACACCACGTTTTTTGGCACGGTGTCCGTTAAACTGCATGACAACTTCCAAAGGAAAGAGATAAATTAGAGGACTTATTAGTTCCAATTGTCGCGTCATTTTCATCCCAGTTTTTAATAAATCTGCATGTAATTATTTACCCGGAAGTGAAAATTATTTTTTTATGTGTATATGTATTTTCTTCTATTCCAACCTAACTGACATCAAAAAGACATTCAGGGATACCTGAAGGCTCCATCACTGCCTCCTTGTGCCCCTTTCATTCCGCCTCTGGAACCGGCCAGCATTAAGCAGCAGCGCCCCCCAGTGATGACTCCTTGTTTCTGCACTCCCTCTGTTGGTCCTGTTCCACAGCAAGTTAAATCTTTCTCTCGCTCTCAGTTCTCTCAGAGAACACAGATTCCACGGAGGAGGAGTGGCAGTCCATCGCTGACCTGGCCACGGCCTGCCGCAGCATCCTGGAGGCTTTGTCACAAGAGGGTGAACAACAATTTCTTTCACAATCTTAAATGTAAACTGTAAAGTTTCCCCTTTGATGCACTTTCAATAACGAAATGACCATGACTGGCTGTATTGTCTTGGCCTGGAAAGTAATACGTGAGATAAAGTGAACATCTCCTTTGTCGTCGCCGTTATCGTTCTCATCTCATCATGATGGTACTATATGGTTATATTACATCATAACAGTGGGGATAATGTTCATTGCCACAGACCATCGAGCCGGAGACCCCTCGCAAGCAGGAGCCGACCAGCAAGACGGCAGGCCGAAGGACTCAAAGGACAGGTGGGTTGCTATGAACACAGCGCAGTGTCTTTGTAGTTAGTCTCCTGGTTTTCTTTTTGTCAGGATCCTTGCAGACATCCTTTTTCACAGCCTCTGCTCCTTTGTTCCGTCGATTTTTTTTATTTTAATGGCAACCTCCAACTGTTTGAGTCACTGTTACGGTTTCTCTCCCCCATAAAGAGAGCTCTCTCGCTGACTCGGTAATGCAGTTATGCGCACGCAGACACACAAGCGCGCACACAGCTTGTTTGACTCATTGTCGTCGTCATTTCGTCTGCTCCCACTCTGATCCGTTTTGTTGTTCTTTCACACGTCTTCCAGTCCCTGGTCACGATGTGTCTGAACATACAAAGTGCAGAACTGAAAATGTGTCAATAAAAGAAAGACCCCAATGTGAAGCTTTTCTTCAAAGAAACTCTTCACAGGTGCAGTTCATGTCCCTCCACTACTACTACGCTAATCAGTATCGATTATTTAACTTTTCAATTTGGCTCCGACAAGCATGAAAAAAGACACTCACATGTGGAAAATGAATAACTACATATGTATTGTATGTCCTGAAAAATGGAAAAGAAAACATAAAAACATATTTGTTTTTAGTACATACTAGTTGAATATAAGAAAGAAAGATTGACACCACAATAAAAGGAAAACTGCAAACCTCCATCAACAAATGAGCTTGAAATCAACCAAAAAGATCAGATTAATGGTCATTTTATTACATATCAAACTCACCATCAATGCCCTGTTCCTTCTTTTAAAAACGTGATCATGCTGTTCACATCACCAGAAGCATTTGTTATGTAACTGCAATCAGAAGAAAATGGGTCTGTCTGTCAAACTAGCAATTACTGTAAAAATGATCTCAGAGTGTTACAGGTTGAAGCAGCAGGACGATGTGTGGAGCTCTGAGGCTGCCAGTCGAGACCAATCCAACACACTGAAAAGTTCTCTTCCCGAATGAATGAAGGGCGGCGTTAGAACTCGAGAGAAATGTTTCCAACAAAAGAAATACAATAAAAACCTTTCTGCAAATGAATGCGTTCCCCTTGTTCATTTGTTACTTGGAACCCAAATGAATCTGGACCTCCTCTGATGATGTGATTGATTTTGACAAAGTGTCGCTGCCTCTCTTTGTTGCAGTGACTCTCCAGGCCACCTAGAAGAGAAGGTGTCCCAGCTGGAGTCCATGCTGAAGAGGCTGCAGGATGACCTGCAAAAGGTGCTTTGACTTTCATGAACGTTGTTCTCTGTAGTGATGTTTTCAGTGAGCTCCATGGGAGAGTCAGCAGGTAGGAAAAAGTATTGAAATTGTTCAGCTTGTGTCAGTATTTGCGAGATTATTATTTGTATTTTCAGAGGCAGGCTTTTGTTTACTTGTATAAATCCTCCCCCATGCCAATTTCAATCCCTGCTGGCCCACTGGGGATGCATTAAATATGGATACATTTGTTTGGTCCTAATGTACATTTGTACAGCAACATTTTAGATCTGTAAATATCCCCCGTATCCTGCTTCAAAGAAATGTCAAAATGTTTGTCTGACAACTCCTGTTATCAATGTATTCTTGTACATTTCTGCTAAAGCATGTAGGTAGAATACTGTATGTGATGAAGTCCTTATTCTTAATGTCAGCCTCGGGCTTGACAAAAAATAGTTCTCAACACAAAGTCGACTTGTGTTTGCGCAGCTTTCCACCTCGTCTTTGCCCCGAGGAGTCAGCAGACAAGTCAACGTTGTGTTGAGATTCGTTAGTCGACATTGAATGTGTCTCTATGTGTACAAATATTATATATATTATATATATATAAATATACTATTTAGACCATGAACGTTTAAGAAAAAACATAAAATTCCCATTTAGTGCTCAAAGAAAAGCTAAGAATTATATATATATACAGATAATTAAACTGGTTAATATCTGATTCATTGTCATTGTCGATTCATACTCTTGAGAATGAGAAAACTGCCTGTTTTTGACTTTGGGTTTTGAGCTGTTGGTCAGACAAATAAATGTGAAGCTGTCACTTTAGGTTTTAACATTTTAAATGTTAAGCAATTATTAATAAAAATAATAGTTGGATTGTTTAATAATGAAAATAATCGTTAATTGCGGCCTTTTACAAATGACGGCCGATGAATTGCTCACTCGGTCTGACCAGCGGGCTAAAGCCCAAACCACAGACTATAATCTAGACTAGTCTGGACTAGAATTCCCTGTCAAAGAAATGATGAGCTCGGGGGATTTGGTATTTCTCCGCTCTGCGGCGTGATGTGCTTTTCTACACTGTGTTGTTTTATTTCAAGCTCTGTGTTTATGTGTGCCCACTAGTTTCCTTAAAGCCACCGCTGTACCTGTCGCTCCCCTCCCGTTCCTGCCACAGCGATCTGAGCGACGGCTTTTGTTTTGTTGTGTGCCGATGTCTTTCAGGAGAAGGAGGACAAGGCGGTGCTGCAGGCCGAGGTGCAGAGCCTCCGGCAGAACAACCAGCGGCTGCAGGAGGAGTCGCAGAGCACAGTGGCTCGCCTCATCAAAGTCACCGAGCTGCTGTGCAACGTCAACAAGCCCTGTTAGCTTCTGCGCGCGCGAATCACACGCAGATCAGCAGAAAGATGCAAATAGTACCACGTGCTTGTACGCTCAGTGCGCCGGTTTTGTGCGAATGTATGCGTTGGCAAAGGCAGATGCACGCGCACGTTGTTCAATCTGCGTGCGGCCGCGGTCTCAACCCTGAATCCTGCACCTGCCTTTTGGTGAGGGAGTATGCAAATCAACCCGTGAGGAAGAAAGAAATGACATTTCCAACATCCCCTGACCTTCATAGACTGACTATGCCGGAGTGCTCCTCCTGGTGTATATGATACCGTATGTGTGTGGACGTGTGACGCGTGTGTGCGTGCGCGTGACTGTGCGTGCGCATCTCTTACTGTACCTTGCTTCAAATACTTGACAAGCTGGGCTGAATAGCACTTGCATAAAAAGTGGCAATTAAGACTGAGAGACACTGTATAGCATGTTTGGTGGTGTCTCATCTGAAATGACCAAAAGTGTATATATATATATACTGTATCACCAACAATATATGTGAACAGTAGTGTCGCTATCCTCCAGACGTTTAGTTGCAGTGTGGTTCTGCCTGCCGCCGATAGTGTGGAAAGTCTTGAAACAAAACACAACAGGAGACAAAAAGGGAACACGACAACGAAGCAGCATTCTACTTCAAAAGATGTAATGATGCCAACTGACTGTCCCTAGAGACGGGCCTGTTGCTAAGGAAATAATTCTCTGCCCTCGTCACTTCCCAGTAGTACTGTATTTAAGACACTGGAATAATTAGGGAATAGTTTTTTTTTTTTTTTTTAATCCTTATACGAAAGGGAGCTAAACTGGAAATGTATGTTAAAAACAGTATAAAAGGGAAAAGTGTTTTTACCCATCCTGAAAACAGAGACAGTGGCAGGAAAAGAACTGCTTCAGCTTCCTTCCACGAGCGCCTGTAGCGTTTTCCCTCCAACCTCACTATTGTAGCAGCCGTTCTGTAGAAGGTCTCCTCCTACTGGCCTGAACCACAAAATGCCAAAAGGCAGCTTTCTCTTTCAGCTGGCAAAATAGCTTTAGGTGTCAGAATAAAACATCTCGAACTAACAGTGAAAAATACAGGATATTGTATTTAAATATTTGTGTTTGGCGGATGTCTACAGTGACTGTTTTGGGTAATTGTTTTAGTATGGCTTATGAGTGCTAGAAGTAAGGATAATTGGGGAAATCTTACCGTTCCACCTGATGCGTGTTTGTATGTGTTTCTGTGTTGTTCCTGCACTTTTTTTGGGGTAAAATCAGCACTGGACAGTCACCTTATTTAGCCCAGGTTATGTCTTGCTCAACATGAAAAGGTGATTAAGATCTCATCCCCTTGACGCCACCTTTACCTCACTTTTGTGTGTCTGCTGACTGCTTGACTGCTTCTCCTCAGTGCCAACGAAAAAAAAAAAAAGCGCAGGCAGCTCTCCTGAATCCCACCGAAATCAAACTGAACTGACCACAAACTCCAATCTCCAACCACGAACTCTAGACTCTAGACAAAAAGGGATGCCAAAAGTTCGTCAGCCACTCCGACTCACTTGTTTCTTGTACAAACTTCCTTGTAATTTTATTTTAGAGTCACTGTGAATACCTGGTACCAGCATATTAAGATACAATATATGAAGATTAACTTATGGATCTAAACGTGATGAGTGTGTGAAGATACTGTATGTACAGCTGAACTGTTCCATGTTAGTGCATTGGGTTGCGTACGCCCTCCTTTTTGCAGAATGATTATGCAGAGAAGTGTTAATCGTGACCACGCGGGCGTTTGTTTCATCTCCTGCACACGCTGAAGCCTCGTTTCTGAACAGAGAGGCGGCGGTGTGGGAAGACCTGTTTTACTGTGTCTTGTATAGTTATTTAGATTGTAGGAGGTTGGTCAAGCATGAGAATGTGCCAAGCAACTTCCAAGCGCCCCCCCACCCCACCCCCCTCTGTTTATGTGTATGTATAAAAATGTAACTTATTAATCATGCAAATGTGGATTTTCTTGTAGCTGTTACAACTGGAGGGAAGTCTCGAGGAAAAAATGTGAAATAGGGCGGAACGGGAAAGTGGGCTTGGTTATGAGTTTATGTTTCTTTTGTAGAAAATTGATGATATGACATGATAATATATTATCTGCTAAATGTGACAATGGTTCTTATTATCATTTTGATATATTTCAGCTGAAACTCTTGAAGATAATAAGGTCTTAAAACACCATTAGGTACGCCTTAATGAGTGAAACTTGAATGGATGTTCAAACTGGTCATACTGGTGTTTTCTGAAGGCTTATTCCTCTGACTTTGTGCCTACTAGAAAATGTAATGTATGGTGTTCCAGCTTAGTGACCTCATTTCTTTGTTTTTGGTTGGATTTACTGAGTTTTTTCTTGTGGCAGATTATGGATTTCCTGAGAGACCGTCGCAACATCTGGTCTTTCATCCGCTGTGCGAGCAAAAGTAATTGATGATCAGAAAGAACAGATGATGATGAAAATAATAATGACAATGATAGTTGTGTGTTGCTGGTCTGAGGAATCACAGATGCTCAGTGAGTCTCAATGGTTCAAAGAAGCAGAGCAACAAACATATGATTTTTAAAAGAAAATTAATAGAAAAAGGTTTCTGCAAATGACCCGTGTTGAATTGAAATGAAGTTCAAGTTTATATGAATGTGTGGAATGGCGTATGGGTCCTCTAAAGGATGCTTATTTTGCTATTTAAATATTTAGAAGAATAAATTGTCTCAGAAAATCCCACGACGTATTTGACAAAAAAACAGACAAACCAGTTGATGCAGATGTTTTGTTGACACAGTGAGGTTGAGATATTTGTGTGTAGCTGCCTTTAAGATGTGATGGAATGAAGGGAGGTGTTTCTGCTTTTGTTTTGTGTGAGATAAACAACTCCCAAAAAAAGCAAATATCTGCATTGAGAATTCAGGTTTTTAAAGGGTATAGTTTTTATTTTCCTACCGACAAAGGCAGCAGAGAAATATCTCTGTACAAATCACTACAAGTCAGTTGGTCAGGAATACAATATGTTTATACTTTGATAACAACAACAGAGAGTTGCTCCTCCTTTGAGGAGCAGAACCTTTGGAGGACCTCGTGACCTGGAGTGATGAACACTGGAGGTAAAACAGAGCCGAAAAAACCCCACTGACAGCAGTCCAGGAAGAAACAGTTTCACGGTCTGACAGCAACAACATGATTTGTAAGTGAGAGGTCATATCAGATCCACTGAAGAGAAGAGAACATAAAACAGACTTACTATGTGCAGTGAGGGAAGCAGAAGGCACCTGAGATCTTAACATATGAAGCTTCTGCCGTAATTTATAGAAAAAGTATAGCAAGTATACAAATATATTCAGTCTGCTTAACGGGACAAAATGCTGAAGGTACTAAATTATTTTGTTTTTAATGTCAATCTGCTTTTACACATCATCATCATAAAACAGCAAGCAAATAGCTGCAATAATATGTAGTTGGGGAAAAATTGTGGTAAATCTTCCATATCGGTGGTTCTCTGCCTGCAGGGTTTCATTCGTACCAGCTGGGGTTTTGCCGTGATGATCCAGTTCTAAATCAATCCTGCTGCTGTAATAAAATCCAGTAACTATAAGAAGGATTAAAAAACACTCCTCTCCTTACAAACTGCTTTATGTTCAAAAATGTTTTCCTTTGTTGTTACACATTTTATAATCCTTTAATAAAAATAATAAATGTGTTGGTAGGTTAAGCTCAATCAAAGGTAATATCTTCTCTTAAAGACACTAAGAGGTCAATTTATTTGAGATGAATCCAATTGCATTGAGATTACTTACTGTTGAGAAATCTGATTTAATCTCAACCTTCTGATCTCAATACAACCGTATTGTCATCAAGGCTGAAACATTACCGGCAGGATGCTGAGGATTGTTAAGCGCTTTACGCATGCTACATATAAATGTGCGGATGTTTGATCGCTTCGGGCCATATAGAGCTGAACGACATCACGGCCTTCAGCAGACCCTTCAACACGGACAGTTTCACTTCCTGCCGCCGAGCGAGCGCCGTGCGAAGCCGAGCTCCGTCCCTCACCACAATAACTGTTAAGACACAGCACCGCTTTGTTTGTCAAGTATTCTCTGTTTAACATCCTGCAGGGAACTCAACAATGCTGACAGAGTACATTAAAAGAGCCGCTTCTGTTTTATCTGGTTCACGTTTTGAAATGATTGGACCGTATTCACACATATTTGCACCTTGGTATAGCAACTATTAAGCGTGATATAATCATTTACGTTGACTTAAATGCATTTTTCATTGAGATTCCTTCTGTGTCACACAAACACATACAGAGATTTAGAGTTAGAGGATATACTTTTAAACCACTTTAAAATCCTTTGAATGCACATTCCCATCTCCCTGATAGCATGAGTTAAGACAAATACACTTTCCGCAGATCCTTCCATGATCATAATACAGCACGACAACATCATACAAACATTCACCAGGGCTCTGTCCTCTGGAAGGCTTTTTCCTAAACACCAGACGCAGAAAAGCGCTTCATCTTCCCCACCCTGACGGCAGGAGGAGAGCTGAGGACAACAATGCAACGGCATATGTCTTTATTTGGGGCTGCAGCGCGAGACGGCGTCTGTGTGTCACACGCAGCTCAAGGGCTGAACACCAGTTGGACTCATCCGTGCTCTGTAAATACAGAGGCCAAGTAATGAGGCAAGTCAAATTTAACAAAACTGAACAATGTTTACAAATACATCCAATAGTTTATTTATCCAGTCCAACATGGAATAGAATTATCTAACATTTAATACGCTGAACTTGAATATTGATAGCAAGAAAACGCGTTCATGTACTCCAATGCAACAATGCAGATGTTCACGTTTGAAAAAGTAAAGGATGCAACCTGTTAATAAGTGATGCACCTCACATAACAAGCCATGTGTTTAAGTCAGTGATAAACGTATCCCAGAGTCCAGCCCTTTTGCCATAAATCAGTTAAACATTAGAAATGGAAAAACACCAGGACACTGTCAGCTTACTGCGGCGACCTTCACTTTTTAATGTTTTTTAATTGAAGTAAAGGTATTCTAATGGCTTTAAATGTTAAAAGGAGACATTAAACAGACTACTTCTGTCTTGCAGTAAGCTTGGTTGGTGTTGTTTTTCTTTTCTGGGAATCCTGCTGGGTGGACCATTAGCTGACAGTTTCTTAATCTTCAACTGGTTCCTGGAAGGTCTCCGTTTGACAAGTAGTCTGTGAATCCCCCAACAGGGTAGCCCCCTATTCTTTCGGCATTTTCATTTGGTAATAATCCAACAGCTGGAGATAAAGGAAATAAGCTTAATTACCTGTAGAGTATCAGTGGCAAAACCCTCTCTTGTATATTGTCTTCTATAGAAAACAAAACAAAAACAAAAGCACAGATTCTTACTGCATTATGTCTCTAACTTCATCACCTCCCCCATCAGGGTAGTGTGGAGAAAGTGCTGGGCCAGCTATAATGGCGTGTGTTACTGGTGTAAAACCAGTGAATCACAGGCTCCATGTTCAACGCTATTCCGCTGATCGACAGCTTGTGGCGGAAATACGCCAAAAAAGAAAAGTGCTGCCTCGTAATAGAAGAAGACTGTTTTTTCTTTATTTTTTAATAATTTCAAACTGATCAACAAATGTTTCACGATGAGGTAAATGCATTGTTTTGGTAAGAAACACTACTGATAATATAAGACATTTAAAAATAATATTATGGATTTAACAGTGAGCTTCAGTCCACTTAGTTTTTATTTATTAGCAAGATCAGAAGGATCGCCTCAATAAACGCCACTCACACGCTGAGCCGCGCGCGCGTGTCTTAATTCTCGGGAGTTTACAACATTTCTGGACCTTATTTTTTCCCGGTGAGCGGGTCGCGTGTTCTGTCGCCCCCTGGCGGCCGCGTGCGGCAGCGCGCCGCGTGAGAGCGAGAGCGAAGGCAGCGCGCAGCTCAGAGCATGTCGCCTCCCGTCGCCGCGCCGCACCGCGGGATCCGCCGTCGACCTTCCGCGCTGTTAACGTGAAGCCCGCCGCGCTCGCGTTCGATAGCGCCTTTTCTCCCTCGCTATGCTCGAGACGGAGGTCTGAGGAGGTGAGCCGGCACAGCGTCTCCTGCTCCGAGTCCGGAGGGGCGTGTAGGGGGGAGGAGGGCGGCGGGGCGGCGGGAGGAGGTGGTGGGGGGGGGAACCGGGCTTGTGATTTTAGGGGGATTTCTGCTTATATTGTTTTTTGTTTTTGTTTTTAGACACAACTTGGCACAGGCTTGTCGTTTGCTGCCCGCTGCTGGAGCTGTTTGTTTGCAGGGGGGGCGAGAAAAAGTGCGAAACAAGTGTCAGCGAGCGAGCAACAGATGTTTTTGGTGGAAAATGCGTCCGCGTGAGGAATGAGAGCAGCAGCGAGGCACCGGCGGCCCTTCCAGCGGTTCTGCTGCTGTGCAGTCGGGCTGGTCGCGGTCATGTGGCTCGTCCAGGTCATCCAGGCACCAGGTGAGACCTCAATGTACACGCACGGACTTTGGCATTCACATTGGAAAAGTTGTGTTGCATCGACTTGTTAGAAAATGTGCACAGTACAAATCCGGGTTCATTTTATATCAATTTGCTATAAATGTTATATTGATGCTAAACCTGAAGTTATGTAATAAAAGAGTAGGAAATGACTCTACATATTCTAAAACGGATCTACAGGCAACTGTTAGTGACTTGATAAATATCCAACTAGTAGAAAATGCTGCATAATTCATTCATTCGGAGCACATGTAATACTATCCAATGTACTCCTCCCTCTTATCTATGGATCTAAAAGTCTTCCTTTATGTGCATGAAAATATGAATATTACATATATGCAATGTATGCTGGTCTAGACCTTGTTCAGTGTGCTGTATTATGACACACATAACATTTGATTGCCTGCAGAAAGAAAGCAGTGGCAGAAGTTGAGTATGATTAAGATTCGTGTCCAGCATTGTTCCATTTCTAAGGACCAACACAATGCCTTTAAAGTACTGCAGCACTGCACGTTCTAAATATTGAAATCTTAGTTTCCACCACAGTGTTCAACGTCTCCCAGCTACCGTCCCTCTGGCCACGATTTACTGCTCTTCCCATGCAGGAAGGTGACGGTTTGTTGATTACATAAAGCATGCGGGGATTGTGGTATGTATAAATCCAATCACCAGGGATCAGTGCATCTATGGGTTATTGCAGCTGGACTACGGTTATTTCATCCCTAATCTCAGCAGAATCTGACGTGTCTATTAATAGACTGCCTGCCCTTTTCCTGTGATTGTAGCCCGATTTTTCAATTGCCAAAATACATTGTTGTTACATTTTTATATTTAATTGGTAAATTGATTGAATTTGTCTGGGATTGTTTGCAAGTATTGTAATTTAAAACCGTTGGAATCATCAACTTCTATACCGTCATGCGCCGTTCAGTCACACCGGCATCAAAAAACGGTGAGCGCGTAGATCTTCGCTCATCTCCGAATTGACAATGTCGCATTTTGCAGCGGTGCACCGAAAAGGAAAACCTCCCCCCACCTCATTATCCCCTCGTCACCTTTACCGACGTGGTCACACTCTGTCACGCAGACGCACACGTTCACACCAGCAGCTTCACGCACCCTCTGTGCATCACGACGTGTTGACTGAGTGCACCTTGTTTCAGGGGTGAAAACAGGGGTGTTGGGTTTACGTTTAGGTTTTGAGGCTGCGGTCCGGGCCTTAGTGGCCGTTGCCATTATTATTTATACTTCACCTTTAAAAGATGACCAGAGGAGTTTCATCGGACTGAGATCAAGGCGCCGCGCTCGACTCAAACTATATGAAAGCTCGGGACGGGACGGGTGGCCTGCTGTTTGTAACGGACGCAGGCCGGTTGCTCTCCCAATGCTTGGAGAGTATCACACATACTGTAGCATCCTGAATACCGCTGCTAGTAGAACCATTTATGGATGTGCTAATCCAACCGTCTGTCTCAATGTCGGTGTTTTATGATGTAGTGGTAAAGGGAAGAGTCTCCGGGAGGAGCACATTTAGACAGGTTAAATGATACATTTAACAAATCTTTTTGCGAAAGATGACCAATTATTTTCCATTGATGGAACGCGGGGGGAATTGATTCTTAAATGAACATTTCGAACCTGGCTGGACAACTTATTTATCTTAAAGATAGCCGTCCCCTCGTCTGCGCTAGCATGTGGTGAATTCCTTCACAAACATTTATAAAACACAGCAGGAGTGTGTTGAACAGCTGACACATACCGATCCCCTGTGTGTCCGTGTTATTTCTGACAACATTCTGGACTGACTTAAGTTTAGTGCTGATTGAAATGATTTCTTAATTGCGCGCTTCACACAAAGCGGCCTCCATTGCTCGGGGCTGTGGCAATAAACCGACTTATTATCTCTTAAATTGGACATAGCTGTCATTTATTAAACTGTTGCTTACATCCAACAAATACATTAGGACGTCAACCTTTGGTATTGTAGTTCCGTCCTCCTTTTAGTTGCTGAAACAAATAAATCTGGTTTAACTCACTGAAATGATGCGCAGAGCTGAGAGGGAGCAAAGTTGGGGGATTATTCTCTGTAGGCACGCTGGTTGTCATGTGATCTATTAGTAGGAAAAAAGATGTTGATCATAATTATTTTCAAGTCACGTTCTGTAAATTAGAATGTTTTAGACTTTAGCACACTTCTAACGGGGATCCATACAGGACACATTGCATCAATTTGACCAATTTTTAATATTTTGAATCAAGCTAAAGTTCCTGTTTCTTAAAAGACAAATTGTCCCTAATTGATTGACAATTGTAAAAAGTAGTAAATGGAATAAGATTATAACCATTATAACCACAGCTTGGCTTGTGTCAATTATAGCACTTATTATTGAATGATAATAAACGAGTCATATTAACAGAGTCAGCTATTTATGGAACTGGGTTTGAGCTCCTTTTCAAGACCAAATGTCGTTTTATCAGCGCTCTGTTTCCTGCCACATGACCCGTCCTAAATGTTCTGTCTAAATGTCAGGCGGAAGGACTTCTGTGTTATCTATGAGGAAATGTCCTCAGAGTGTTGGACTGACATTTCCTATAAGGTGATACCCATCGACTCTGGCTTCAGAGGCCGCAGTGTTCATCTGCGTCGCCACCGTAGAGGACTTTACGGCCTGAGTCATTTACTAACGCAGAGTGCAGTCCGGCCCTGTGGAGGTGGTGTTTAGGGCAACACCTGAGGAAGCCGGTCTTTCCAGTCGATGTGTTATTGAAGGGGTCAGATGTCTTGTTTCTGCTAAAGAAAGAGGCGACACTGGTTTGTCCTTCCTGAGTGGAGCCGATCATAGCGTACGCATTCAGTCATTCACGTTTTAAATGTAGAGTTGCTGTTCCGGGCCTAGTGAAAACCAAATAAGTGCTAGATAATAATTTACAGCAGTGACCCCATTTGGTCTATGTTCATTCCTGTATTTTTAGTTGTTTGCTGCCTTTAAAATGAAACAAAGTCGCGCATGAACGTCATGAAATAAGCATTTGGCCTGGAGGTTCCCCACAGCCTGCGTGATTATGCTGTTGTGTAGATAAAAATGAACGATGCTATTTAGCCTCAGTATGATGCACCCTGTGTTTATGTTGCAGCATGTGACAGCAGGATTAACATATTTCCATACAAAGTCCACATTTTGTGTTTCATCGGCTTCCTCGCTGACCTTTCTGTGACCTCCCTCCGTTATATTTACATTATAAGCTTTCACCAGACGGTCTTATCTCGAAAAACTCTCTCTTTACACCAAAGTCAGCTTAAACACCATGGGTCACCAACATTTAATGCGCTTCAATGCACGACTCGGGGTCAGAAAGTGAAGGCGAAGACACGAGGTCGGGGGCATTTCCATTGGCTCTCGCCGTGGCGACTCTGCCACTGGGAGAGCTGGCGCTGTGCGCCTGAGGGGCGAAGCAGAACGTGGGCGCCGCATTCCAGCGACGCCGCTGTGTGTGACGGCGTCGTCACCTGCATGTGAGTGCAGCGCTGATTGGCCGACGTAAGCCAGCCAGCGAGGTAAACCCGTGTGTATACTAAACCAATACAAAGCACAGAGCAGCCATGATTACAACACGCACAAATGTCTCACTCTACTTTAACCCTTCACATAGCAAACGGTTCTTTGCTGCCATACTAATGCCCTAAATGTCACATGCAGCTCCTATGTTGATCATTTCTTTACAGGTTAGCAGAACCCGATTTGATTCCAAGTTCCAATTTGCTTGAACAATCCAAAACCCAATCAGTTAGAATGCAACAGAAAAGAAACCTGCAAATCTTCTTCTCATATGAGAAGCTGGAACCAGAGGACATCTTTGCTCAACTACATCTACAGTTGGTTCAGATTGATTTTCCGTCATCTACCTAATCAACTAATCGACAGACCGTTTTAGCAACTGGCTTTTGTTTGCATTTACCACAACCTGAATCTGCAGAGGAAGAAGCATCAGTATGCACTTTCGTCCATCCTGTTTTTCTAATGAGACGACGTGTGGTTTACGAGCTATAAATTTCTCCCAGTGATAGGTGGGAAAAACGCTGCCGAGCCATCTGTGGCAGGCACCCATTTGAATTTCATACGGAACGAGCTCCTCTTGATGCCTCAACATGAAAGCCTTCACGTTTTCTCTCAGCCACGACCGCGGCCCTCATGAAACGGGCTCATTGAGCTGAAGGGTACAAAGAGCCTCTACGACGCCTGGCAGTCACAAAAAGCACCAGACACCATGCTGATTTCCAAATAAAAGGACAGTTTGTAGCGCGATAATGAGCCTCCCACTATCTTCTCGGCCATTGTGGAAAGATATCTGTCGCTGCTGGTGCAGGAAATCTGTGTTTTTGTTCTCGTAGGAGAGATGAGACGCGTTTGTCTCTGGGGAGTTCCTCACCTGGCGGCGTAGTAAAGAACTGAAGCTCACGCAGAGAATAGCTGCTAAGGGATGAGACGCACAGTTGAAATCCACACCATAAAGAGTTCAGTGCTGATGGCGGAGGACAGCTGATGGCAGCATGGAATGAATAACTGAGCCTGCTGCCGACTCCCAGAGCCCGAAACATGAGACCGGCGTCTGTGGAGTAGTCGTTTGACACAAGAATAACTCACAGGACAATCGCTGAAATAGATGCCATTAGTATTGTTGACTTCAGTCAGAAGTTTTGTGATTTCAAATGGATATTAGCTTTAATGAATCAGTAGATTTAAAAGAATCGATTAGTTGATCAACAAAAAAGTAATAATTATTTTCAAAGCCTAAATAATTCTCAAAAAAATCTTAAATGTCGTCACATTTGAGAATGTGCTGCTTTTCGGGGTTTAACACTTTTTATTAGACAAAACAAGACATAATCTTGGTCTCTTTGCGGTCAGATTTTTTTTTCATAAAGACAAAACATCCCAACATTTCTGCTTAAATTATGACAAACAATCAGTTGCAGATCATCTCTTCAACTCTAGATTTATCGTCTAAACAGTTTTATAGTCAGTCAGACCTCGTCTTTCCCTAAATCGCAGCACAGATGGGGGAGGTCTTGGACTGCGTGAAGTCGCTTTCGCACTTAAAAGGCCGCCGTTGTTTTCTAACAGAGACGGAGTCTTCTGGCGTTCGCCCGGCCGTGAACGGGGGGGAGCTGCGATGGACTCGCCGGCTGATGCAGGAGAAGTCGGACAACCAGAGTGTGGATCTGCCGCGAGCAGGTGAGTCCCTGTGGTGCACCCGCATGATGCCGCATGTTCCTCCAGTGTGGACCAGCAAACTCTCCCAGACATCACTCCGGTGATATGGATCATTATCATCCTTTTACCCCTCCTTAAGGGAATGTTTCATTATACACACTGCGAGGCCGTGATGGCTGCATGGGTTGCGTTGGTGGAGGAGATGATTACGATGGTTTGCGTTTGAAAAAGTAGGTTTTTCCACAGAGTTTCGGCAATGCTGAGTGGCGCGTGCAGGCAAAGGAGAAAGGCGCCGTTCCCCGGAGGTTTCTGCGCCGCGTGCAGGTGAACTGGAAGGTCATGCGGCGCTGTGCCAGTGGGACGGCGCGTGTTGTCGGTGTCGAGCTTTGTGTACCGACAGACCCGAGGAGACGGCACGAGAGGAGGCCGCCGAAAGTGAAAGTCAGATTAGATTTTGTAAAGTAGCCTGTCGACGGCGAGGCGCCGAGTTCCCTTCAGTACCTGCCGGAGTCTGGTTGCGCACTGAAAAGGCCGCACGTCTTCAAAGTGCTCCTTATTATCGCAGAGACGTGCAGCCATTGAAAGCCTTAATGAGAAATGAATTGACCCGTGTCTTTGTGTTTCCCGGGCTTATGAGCTCGCTGGCTGACACGAGCCGCACTTGTCAAAGCTGAAATGGGTATTATTGAAGACAGGCAGGAGAATAGCGAAAATAAAGTAAAACAATGAAACATCATCTGCTTTACTGACAGAGTACAATTGGTTACCTTCACATCATGTCACTCTATGATGCAGCTAATATTAGGCTGTTGGTCACAATGTTGCATTGTGGGTCAGAGAAATTTATGCAAATCAAGTTTTTCTAATAATTTACTTTACAAATGACCTGTTTAGAATACCACCTTAAATATGCTCACCTTACAGAGGGTGTGCAACCTAAAAGGAAACCTGCACACAATGAATGATTTGATCCTTTTTACAAACGTGATGTGAAACAGGCTCGACGTGTCCAAGGCGACTTTGTGAAGCATTGGTTCTAGACATTCAGGAACTTTACAGACATATTATGTGTTTCACAGCAGTTGGGGAAAGATTATGATGCCAGGGCGTTCTCATATCGTTTGGCAAAATGTCGGCATGATTTATATCTGGCACTGCCTGTTCTTCCAAATGACTTAAAGATAGTTTGACGAAATACTACATAACAATTAAAAATTAACCTTTTATCACCAAACCTCAAATCTTTATGCCATTTTTTATTTTCTTTAATCTAAAAGGTTTATGATGAACAGTCCTAGCTCCTGATAATTTTATCTCAAAGAATCGTTCCAGTGGAAGTTATTTGCGTTCACAGATGTTCCTGGACATCTCAAACGTCCAGGAACATCTGTGAATATTGGTCTGGCACTCGTGGTAAATTCACACATTAAAAGCACCTCACTATCATTGCGTGTCCTCTTTCATGACATTACATCAGAAGGGATTTCATTTTTTCCACCCATGAGAGAGAAAATGAGACTCCCTGTATTCCGCTACCCAATGACACACATAACCTTTTATCGAGTTCCCGCGTGCAAACAACACACTATCTCTTACGAGCAAATGCTTACAAGACACAAGCGTTGTGTGTACTGTGTGCGTGAAGTGGTTACTTCTCTGCACTAACGCAGTGGAGACGGCATGTAAACAAAGGGCAGGACATAAGACACTCCAGCTCCATGCTCAGGTGGCCGCCCTGTTCCTCAGCAGGCCGTCTGAGAGTTGTTGCATAATCTGTGGTGTGATTAAAAAGGCCGCCCTGGACCTCGGGGATATTATCTGGGGGATTTCACAGTAACATCCAGGCTGCAGCTGTCCTTCTCTCCTTTCATCCCTCCACTGCTCAACAAGATGGAGACGGTTGTGACCAGCCTTCAGCTGACAGGCGTCGAAGAGCGTGGTTGCTAGGCAACTGAATGCTAAATTTTGCAAAAAAACGCAGATAGTTTTGTCTTTCAAGCTTTAAAAGTCTAAAGGACTAAAAATAGAGCGCGAGGGGAAGGGATGGGAGTGAATATAAATCATGTAAATGAAGGGAATGGCTCATGCTGTGTGTGTCGTCGGGGGTTGTTGTGTTGTTTATTTTGGCAAGCGACAGTCTGCTGAGAATAGTATTTTTCCACATCCTTGTTTTAGGGGTTTTTGAGAAAGTTGAGAAAGAGAAGCAGGCAGATAATCTTACAGGAACTTGTTTTGGTCTTTAATTTGGATGCCACACAAAGCAAACAGCAGTTATTTCTACCAATAAGTGTTGCCAAATCTTTTGTTCACTCTCTCTCTATCCACAGTAAGGTCGAGTGCGAGGTCTATCTGTAAGGCTCCTCTTAAAATTCTTGTCACTAAAGAGAAGATATTTAGCTGCTTCCTCTAACCTAATGTTTAATTTCCTCGTCTAACAAGTCGATGGAGATGCTGCCACATGCTTTCATCATTGTCACATCTAAACCGCCTCAAAGGAAAGCAAATCAAACAACAAACGCACAATTGAATTTACATTCAACACCTGGATGAAATATGGATATTTTTTGATTCCCTAATGAAAAATGCAGTGTGTGTGTGTGTGTGTGTGTGTGTGCGCTCCATAACATTGGTTTTGTTGATGCACGGCACGTCGATTCCGTAGCTTGACTCCAGGGCGCCTGCAGACTCCCACATCGATAACGTTACTGTGCACCGCCCACTGCCCCGTCATTCAGCTCCACTGAAGCAGCAGCTTGAGTCACACAGCAGCTCTGACGTCCCTCAGTGGAGATTTCGCATATCGTGCCTTCCGTAGAATGTGATTGCCATTGAAGTTGGGCAGGCTTTACTGATTTGGACTTGGATAAAGTACACGTATAAAGACAGGAAAGCACACCCTTTTGACAGAACAATTAACACTGTATTTGCTGGTAAGACGCAAGACTAAAGTCATGTGATCAAAAGGACAACACGATTCGGTTTGAAATAGGCAACGGTGTGTTATGATCGCACTAAATGCTGTTGTGGATTCAACTAAAAGCTAATAAACTTATATATAGCAGAGTCCATTTGTTTTATTATGGTCAGATGCATTAGGGGCAAATCGACGCTTTGCTTCTTGACAAACAGTGTGTCATTTATAACCTCCTGCATTCAATAATGCTGTAGAGTTACATTTACATGTTCAGTGCCCTGCTTCCCATCACAGTTTCTGTTAAATATCAAACAAAACGTCTTTTTGTTGCTTTACAATCATCATAAATCTTCCATACATGACAGTTAAGAAGTCTACAATGAGTAAACCCATTAGCTCCGATATGACTGCCGATTAGTATTGGTGCACACAGTTGATGGTACTGAATGCATCATGATGCCTCTTCGATATCATTCAACATTACTTATGTCATGCACTTTCCAGTTAGAGACATTTTATTTCATTCTTCCTTGAACTAACTCCTTTAGATGTGAAATAAAAGTGTAATAAATAAAATAAATAAATAAAAGTGCGACTTCGGTTGAGTCGAGATCTTATCTCATCACAACTTCTCCTTACTGACGGTTCCTCCCTTCACATGTCAAGTGTCGCCTCTGCTGAAGTTTGAAGAAATACTTATACAACCGTATATTATTTTACATTAAGTGTTATTTTTAGATGAATGGTATTTGAAGGTATTTGTACACCCTCATTATAAAGGAAAGACCTTTCGTTGATTATTGAACAGATCACTGATTCAGCCGGTTTATTAAAGCTTCCCATTTCCCCTCCGTCTGTTACGTCCATTTATGGTTTACAGCGGTTTAAGTGCAATGCTTGTGAAAAGGTTTGAAGAAATGTACAGGACTATTTCCACTTGAGCTTGCGTAGGAATAAAGAAAAGAAACGTCAGCTGATGAGACTGACGGACGTTATCTGGATCAGGGGGGAAAGAGTTGTGGCAGCATTTAATGAAGTGATGCTCGAGGCTCGAGTGCAGAGGCGCTGCACACCCATGCAGCTCGACCTCTGATTACAAAACTACTGCCTTCATCCAGCTGATGGCACATCTGGCTTGAATACCAGATTTAGGAAGTTGCAGATGTGCAATCATCTTGAACCTGGGTGGTGGGTTTTCGGGTGTTGCATTGTGAAATCCCTCCATGAGAGTTTCAGCAAGAGACATTCCTGTCCAGTAACCTCCAGTAAGCTGAGACACGCCGCGTATCCTCAACTCCCTCTCTCTCTCTCTAAGGCCTCTCCAGAGGGTTTGTGAGGAAAAAGAAATATTTTTAGACATTATTGGGCAGAGCTGCTGTCACTTTTTTTTCTTTTCATTTTTCATAAACCCCCGACCATGGGAAAAGCATATCACCTCCCCCTTTCTTACTGCTCAGGCAACTGCCTTTCCTTTGGCTTCCTACTGCCACCCATCAAATAAAAGAAAAAAAGAAAAGCTGCCCCTGGGGAGAGTGTTACCATAGCAACTGCCTTCAGCAGAGCAACTCCTCAAAGCATCAATCTGAGGTACGCGTTTCAGCCCCCGGTTTTTCGAGAACAACCTGAGAGTTTATTTTTGGGTTGGAAAGGGGACTGGGAGGCTTTCGGGGGTGTTAGATGGGACGGCGAGACTAAAGCAGAAGGCGAAAGGAACAAAGCCACAGAGAGAGCACAGTTGGCCAAAGCTCGACAGGCCCGATTGGGAAGACGCATACAGAGCAGCTTTCTCGCCGCTTCGCTCCTTCGTGGGATAAGATGACCAGGTTTACATGCTAAGCCTCCGTGATTTAGCAGACCAGCCCCGCCCAGCAATAACAGATGGTGCAGAGAAAGCAGGCTTTGTCCGCTAAGAGAGAAGAACAAAACAAAGGAACTACCGACCTTCGGACACTCGCTCACAACTCCCGTCCTCGCAAATGAAGCACAAGGAGCATTTTTATGGCACAACAAGCGTCCAGGCAGGCGGTGCTGCTTCTCTGGCGCAGACACACATGTGTAAACATCACTGCACAAACATTTACATTTTCTGAACTGAACATAGTCAAATGACTGTCCCCTTTCTGGGGACCATATGGCCTCCTCCTCTGACTCGCTGACACTGTAACGTCAAAGATCAAATCTAATATCCCCGATCACAAGGGACCTCTCTTAATCCATGCTGTGTGTTGTTAAGTTTCCATGCATCATGGCTGATGCCGTGTGCTTATTGTGCGCTCGCCGACCCACTGTTGTCTCACGCAGCAGAGGAGCTATTAATAGCCGCGTGCTCCCCGGTAGTTTGATTTCAACCAGCTCGGCTGGAGTCGTGAGTTGGAGCTGCACCGCACTCGCTAGGCTTTCTTGTGAAACGTCAAGGGAATAGAGGGAAGCAAGGTTTTTGAATTTTTATTTTTATTTGAACCTCAAAGAAGAACAGGAAGCAGCTGCCAGTTTCACTTCCTGTCTAACGGTTCAGTGCGAGGCGTCTACGAGATGTTATTGCGGGTTCTACCACGTCTGAAAGAAACCCAGGAAGATGACACACATTTTAAATCATTACTTCTATTCGTTAGGTCTTTCAATAAATATTTTCACAAAATCAACCTTTGTGGTTGTATCAGAAATTAGTGAGAAATTAGTCAAATGATTTAATATATAAAAAAATATGTAGTAATGAAAGGAAATATGCACCAACAATATGTGTATATGTGTACATCATGTCCATCACCCTGCAGCCATCCATGAGTTTCCAGAGGACATCTTTACAAAGGAGCAGAGGAAGAAGGGGGCCGTTTGTCTGCATGCACTGTGTGTGAGTATGTCACGCCGTATCTCTTGACACCCGCAGACGCCGACATGTATCACAAACCAACAACTACTCTACTACTTTATTGTATGAAAAGGCAGCCTGTGCACGTGTACCTGCACTCTCTCATCTGGGCCCAACTGTGCTTTTAGGCCATCTACATGTTCTACGCCTTGGCCATCGTCTGTGACGACTACTTCGTCCCATCCCTTGAGAAAATATCTGAGGTGAGACAAACGGCACCGACCCGCCATCAGATATCATTTTGTTGGTTCAATGAGATTCATATTTTCTTATTCCTTCCTATTCTGAGCTTCCTCTTTTTTCTTCGTATCATTCAGAACCTGCAGCTCAGTGAGGATGTGGCCGGTGCGACATTCATGGCGGCAGGCAGCTCGGCTCCAGAGCTTTTTACCTCTCTCATTGGTCAGTAGTTTAGCCAATCGCGACCCAGTACCAGATGTGCCAGTTGTGAGAATAATGCCAGTAGTAGTTTCATGCATTATTAGCTTTTTAACTTTGTAACATGTCAGTATATTGAGATGCTTCACAGCTTCTGCAGTGCCTAAGTCATCCAGAAGATGTCAGCAGAGTCTTTAAGACAATTGAAAACCGTAAAAGGAGTTTTAGCTTATTTTTAGGTATTTTCATAGTTAAGCGACAAGTGCTAAATACAGAGCCGGATGGCTCGTGTTTCTTTGTGTAATAAAAATAAGACGATGAGACAAGAGGCACCACAGACTGTTTGGATTTGATCTAATCTGAATTCCGATTTCCTCTCCTCCTCCTCTGTGTGACCCCCCCCCCTCCCTCAGGTGTGTTCATCACCAAGGGAGACGTCGGGGTCGGTACGATCGTTGGCTCTGCCGTCTTCAACATTCTGGTCATCATTGGCCTGAGTGGGATCTTCGCAGGCCAGGTAGGGAAAGCGCGTAGAACGTGTTGCACGCATCTCTCCCCGAGCGAGGGCACACGGGTATTCATAACGTTTCTCCACAGACGGTGGTTTTGACGTGGTGGTCGCTGTTTAGAGATTCATCCTACTACATCCTCTCCGTACTGGCCCTCATCATGGTGAGAGTTTCTGGTTGGTGCTTTGTGAGGTAAAATAATCAGTCACTGTGTGTAAATCGTCCACGTTGTGCTTTAAAGAATGAATTGTCCCCTCTTTAGGTTATCTACGATGCCACAGTTGTCTGGTGAGTCCACGTTCCTTGAGTTCTATTTGTGTCACGTGATCATGTTTCCAAATGGAACATTTCTGCGGCAGGTATCTGAATTCATACCAACACGGATCTTCAAGTTCATCTCGGCCCCATTGCACCCTGATTGGTGTGAACTACGTCCCCCTCAAATGATGTGATTAGAATTATAAAGATTAGTTACATATTAGATCGCTTTGGTTCTTGATTCGTATGTGACAATAACAATAATATCTAAACAAATATTCAGAGTCGAGTAAACTTAAAATAAAATAAATGGTTTTATTTGTGTGAGGTAACTGTCATCACAAATGTAGAGTTTCCCTCTTACATCAATATCTTTAGTGTACCTGAATATTTGAGCCTGGTCCCAATGAAGGTCTCAAGCCGTAATGCTTTGATCCAAGTAGCAAAGTGGTTCTATATATTACAAGAGATGTAGTTTATAGAACAACATAGAGGGATGACTTTTAATGAGTTTTACTAGAAGCCTTGACTCTCATCATTCAACCTAAGGCCTTTTGTAAAAGAGAAACAATAAAAAGGAAAAAAAAGTCCCTCCGTTGTTGTATGTGTCGGTGGTTTTAATGAAAGAGCAGATTTATTTATGGCTTTAATGTGGGTTGTAGGTTCATCAGTGATTTATAGCAGGCTGTTTATTGAATCAAAGTGTGCCGAGCATTCCTGGCATATTTCACCTCACCACTGTGCTCCTTAATATTCTTTGTAAGATTTGTTTCCCAGCTCCTTTTGCCAAATTCACTGCATGCTCCCATTGTCGGAGGTATGCGTGTGCTCTGTGGAGCAGTGCTTATCCAGTGTCTACGCAGGCTTAGTGGACCAGGAGTAGATGGGCAGCGAGTGTGGATGCGTTTTCAGGAGTACACAGTTCTACTTCTACTGTTGACCAAATAAGCAACACCAGAAAGAAATGTATTTTTTTTTTCATCACATCAAAAACTCAACTAATCTTTCTTTTATAATAAATATAAAATGTTTTTGGTCAGAAATATTTTGAAATGATTTACATTTAATGGCTTGTATGTATGTATGTAAGTATCATTAAAGAATGATTTAAGATTAACTCATTCTATTATCTGTTATATGTTCAATTGCAGTGCAAATACCAGACTAACACACAGATATTACTTGCTGTGCAGGTGGGAGTCACTGCTCCTCATGACTATGTATGGGATCTACATCATAATCATGAAGTAAGTTTACCAAAACACTAAGCAGTCATCATTTCTCCACCTCCACACCTCTCATTGACGGTGTATGTAGATATAAATATGAGCAGACAATACCTGTTTGTTTGGTTGCAGGTTCAACTCCCAGCTGCTGGCGTTTGTGACCCGTCGTCTCAGGAGCTCCGGGCCGTGCTGCCTCGGCTCAGAGAATCTCACGGACGACAAGACGGGGGAGGAGGCCTCCGCCTGCAACACCTCCATGGTGCTTCTTAACAAAGGTCAGGCGATGTGTGGATACTCTTCTCCTCTTTTGCTGCTGTTGGTCTGTTGTCTCACAGTGTCACATGCATATATATATTATACCACTTTTTCACAGGCCAAGGCAATGGTCAGGAGGCTCATCCAGTCATCATGGTGGATGAGCTTCTCATCCTCAACCCCCACAAGTTGTCCTTCCCTGACGCTGGCCTACGCGTCATGATTACGCCCCACTTCTCCCCCCGCACCAGGCTCTCCATGGCAGGACGCATGCTCATCAGCGAGGTATTTGATGCACATACAACGCACATAACACACATTCTCTCCAGACCCCCAGAATAAAGGCCGACGTCCCCGTTGTCCTCTCGTAGAGACAGAGGCTCGTCCAGAGTTCGAAGGGTCAGCGGGACGGCGAGACTAGCCCCGCGTCCCGAGCTGGATCAACCAGTAACAGTCTGAAGAGGACGGGCTCCTGCACTCTGGAGAACGGCAGCAGGAGACCTGTGATAGGAGCCACTGAGTCAGGAGACAAGCCTGGAGTAGGAGTCGAGCCTAACGGAGGAGGAAGAGGAGGAGGAGGAGAATCACAGGATTTTCAGCCCTGTGCGCATACCAGGTGAGAAAGATCCACCACGAGGTGCGAAAAAGATCTTTCATCCATTTGTTGACCGTTTTGCTTTTTGATTCAAAAGCCAATCGATGGCTGACAAAGCCTTGATGTCTTGACAACGTGCCCTCCTGAATGCCCCGAATGCTCTTCACAGGTAGCTGCTGTGCGCGGGTGACGTGGATGATCAAGTGGCCTCTCGGCCTCCTGCTCTACTGCACTGTGCCCAATTGCATTCTCCCGCGCTGGCACCGCTGGTTCATGGTCACCTTCGTGGCCTCCACCCTGTGGATCGCTATCTTCTCCTACCTCATGGTGTGGATGGTAAGACTGTGATTTTCAATTCGGAGTAACCACGAATAAACGGTCACAGATGCTTGATGGGGCTATTTGAATGTTAGGATCTTTATTCACTTTGTAGTTAAGGATTCAGCTATTTGTTGAGAGAGGCAATGAAACTCATTTTTTGCACCAGCTTTAAAATGCTCCCTGTGTGTATACTCACCTCTGATGTGTCCTAATGTTTGCATCAGGTCACTATCATCAGTTACACACTAGACATCCCAGACTACATCATGGGTATAACGTTCCTGGCAGCAGGGACCAGTGTGCCGGACTGCATGGCCAGTCTGATTGTAGCTCGACAAGGTAAAAGAAATAAAGGCTCCCAAATGTTCTGAATCTCTCACTGCAAGTACCGTTGTCTCTTTGTGGTGTGAGTGCTTCCGTTCAGCATTTCCCATCATTTCCCTTTTCAGGGATGGGAGACATGGCGGTGTCTAACTCCATTGGCAGCAATATCTTTGACATCCTGCTGGGTTTGGGTTTCCCGTGGGCTTTGCGGACCCTTGTGGTGGAGCACGGATCATCGGTATGCTTACACTTTACCTTCAAAACAATCTCTCTTCCTTCTGTATGTGACGCACTAATGTCTGTACTTGTTTCAGAGGGCTTTTCAAAATTCACACATTTCGCTTTTCACTTCTGTTCAACGGTCATAAAATTGTGACACTTGTTTTTCTTCCCCCAAAGGTCTCCATAAATAATAAAGGACTTGTGTATTCTGTCGTCCTGCTGCTGGCATCTGTGTTTCTGACGGTGAGGAAACCATTTTCTAAAATGATGCTTTATAAATTGAAAATAATAAATGAATGAATCTCAAACGGTTGCTGTACTCCTGTACATGATGCTTTATGGAGGTTTGTTTTGCAGCTTTGCAGCTTAAAATGTAATGTATGCAGGTATAGATAACAAAACTATGTTTTTAATTAAAGTATGAATGCATATTCACAGTCTACAAGTCCCCTCTTGAGATTTCACCTAAACACAATTAATGGTTTGACAATAATTGCACCTGCCTTTGGATAAATATCCTGGTGTCTCGAGCTTTAACATTTGTAGAAAACCAAAACCTTCAAAAGAAACTGCTGTATTCCCGTTGAATCATTTCGGCTCTTCCACATGCCTGCCTGTCTGCTTCCAGGTGATGTGTGTTCATCTGAACCACTGGAGGCTGGATCGCCGACTGGGTCTGGGGCTGTTGTTCCTTTATGCCATTTTCCTGCTGTGCTCCATCCTCTTCGGGCAGATGTGAGGCCCTACGGTCAAAGGTCAACCCCTTTCAGACTACACGATGAGTACGCGACGAGTACCTCGCTTTCTACCACACGTCCTCCTCCCCGAAGCCGAAAAAGGGCGACAGCAATGTTCTTATGAGAGTCTCTGTGCACCTCTGTAGGGCTGACGAGGGCAATACTGCACACATGCAACTACACAACCACACACACTAAAGTCTTTTATCAATAGCACAATGTTTCTCCTATTTGTACAGTGCTGCGTCGTTAAAGTATCAATTTGGGTGACTTACCAAAATATGACATGGTAGATGTAAATAGCCGGCTTGTAATATATATAATAATATAATATAATATAAATACATGTGGAAAAAGAAGTGACGGCAACAAAAAATGGCAAAAAATATTTGGTAAAGGTTTTTTTAAATGGATCTGTCACCACTACTTAATTAAAGCAATAAGCCATTCTAATTGAAGAGTCTCGCTTGGTGTCACTTTTAAATGTATAATATTATTTATGTTAATGCTCTGAAGGCTGCTGCAGCCCCGCTAAATAACCACAGGGTTAATTATGAGTGGATTTCAACAACAACACTGCAATCAAAAGTTATTTATTATAGGGAGTCTATACGGTTTCTGTTGGTGAGGAGTGCTGAATAGTGTGAACATCTCTGGTAACAGGACACAGTTTGAAAACGTTAATTTACGGTAGAGGAAATGACAGACTGACAGCCAAAAGAAATCACAATTATCTAGAATGAATTAGGAAACAGGATGTATAACTAAGATCTGAAATCCATAGTTGCTTCTGGTGAAACTGGTCTTAATTTGAAGAAACAAATAAAGTTGCCTCAATGATTTGAGGAATATGCGGAGGATAGTTTCGGTGAAGTTGGAACGTTTTTATTAAAATAGAAGAAACGTAGCAGATTGAAATAGTCTGTTGGCCTGTTTGTTTTAAATGTAGAACCTGTACAATAAGTGTGGAGATTTTTAAATCCATTTAAAAAGTAGCACCTCCGAACCGATGATTTAGACTTTACTCCTACAATAAATGACCGCATGTATGTGTCAGTAGACCTTTAGAACATACACATCGATATGAAAATGCACATTATTGTGACAATATTTTGACAATTTTGTCAAACTACTTATAAGCAAGTATTGGTACAGCCTAATGTACGTAAAGAGATTGACGTAGTGTTACAGTATTTTTAGACTAATATATATATAAGGGACTTCTATAAGTATCACAATCTTTGATGACTTTGAGTGCAGGTTAGCTGTAAAACGTCACGTTTAGGTACGACAATCGGTGTTTGTATTGTTTCTTGTACATTTTATGAGATTATTTAACTTTGGTGGAATATTTTTACTGATCAGGACAGAAGCGAACATTATGCACAGATAATGCTGTTTATTCTATGTGTGTATACACCTGCTGCTCCTCTGTCCTTTTCACAGGATAGATTAATGGAGCACGACAATTTGGACATATTAAGATAATTCGATTGATAGATTCAAGACTAAATGTTCCACCAAAGGGAGCGGGGCAGTTTTTTCAAATGGCTGCATTATTATTATCATCATCATCATTGTCTACTCGACAACACTTTTTACTGTTTGTAAATGTTGAATAATTGACATAGTTTTACAATAATGAATGTCATACAGAGACTAGTTTTGTGATGTTTTTGATATTTTTAAAAGAAAATCCATATAATCTAAGCCTATTTGTGAATTATTGTAACAAGATGAATGCATGTCTGTTTGTTTGGTGGAATTTGAAGGCTGTTCTGTCAGACTAGCACTGATTTTATGAGGTGTGAATTCAATTGCAGTTGTCTTGAAATCTTTTCAGCACTAAGATCTTTTATTACAGTATTGATTCATTAGAAAAACCTTAATTCAGGCATGAAAAGACACATAAAATGAAGCTCCGGTTTACAGGTTTGAATTGGGTTTAAAAGACCAATAACAAAGCTATTAGTTTGTTAATTGTTTGAATCTTTGATCACGCAAAACTGTAATTTGCAGCTTATGAAATGTGAGGATTTTCTCTTGAAAAATGTTGACAATGATAGAAAACGTTTCTTCTTTCCTGCTTTTTAGTTAGCAAAGTGCCACTTTGATGTACATCCTCAACCATCATTAACTGACTGTGTTTTTTTTCCAGGAGATGATTTACAGCAGCTTATGATGCTACATTGTGCTTTCACTCAGCCGTCGGCAGTCTCTCCTGTAAACTCTTGTATTCAGATCTACTAATAATCTCAATACGCTAGTCATTGCTACTGAGAAGCACAGCAGCACCAAAGCAAAGGGTTGAATTCCAGTACTTCTGCTACTCAAAGAATGTTCTCTTTATTCTGCTGGGATCTTAGGAGGTAGTGGCTGTTAAAGAGGTGAAATGTATTGCTTAGAGGTCGTATTGGATCATAGACCTATCTTGAGACCAATAAATAACGTGCAATAACAATTGATCGCTCACCTGTGATTTTTTTTTGGGGGGGGGTTAGGAATAGCCAATGGATGGAGCTGCCTGAAGTGGTACAATTTCTAGCCACATACAGCCATGTAATGAAATCGTCCTCGTAAAAAGAACTGAGAAACTTAGGATATAATTCATAGCGATGCACGAGTGCTAATAAAACACTGATGCATGTAGAAGTACAGAAATGTCATGAAAGCTGTCTCAGCCTTTGAAAATGTCAAAAAGAATGGCTTTAAATGTATATCTTCATTGTAAAAACATTAAGTAAACATTGTTTAAATGTTAGTATTTTGCAAAAGATTAAGTATAGTATCTTAAACAGTAGTCCATCTATTGGAAAAATGGGCCATGAGACTTTTGCACAGTAATTAACAAACATAATTGTATAGAATTGATCATTTACAAAAAAGGCAAAAGATTTGTTAGTAATAATAAATTGGGATAGAAAAAATATTTTCTCAAATTCTCATTGAGGAAGAGGGAAAAAAGCATCTGACGGTTATATCGCCTAGTATTTTATTTCTTGAAGACATTTTTTGCACAATAAAACATGCCATCACAATCCAAAGATAATTCACCTACTTTGTAAACCTGTGACTTTGGCTTAAACATTTTGTCGGGATGAACCCTCCCAAAGCTCGAGACCAGAAAACCAGAAGATGGATTATCTATAAAATAACTGACAACAGTTGGTTGTTCCCTCTTGTTCGATAGTGCAGCCTAGAAGGTAGATAATGGCTCCGTTATTTAACCATCCAGTGTTAAAGGTGCAGGTACACAACCGCTCTCTTAATCTCGTTATGGGCTTTGCCTCGTCTTGAGCTTTAGAAGAGGGCAACACAGTTGACACCTGCATCACAGGATTAACTAGAGAGCAAATTCCATTGTATCCCAAAGGTCTCACACAGCAAGCACGCAAACATCATCCAGGAGTACAAAAACAACCGGCGAAATAATCTAGTAGCCACTACACAACCAACTGCAAAGTGATGAGAAAATAAACCCGGTGATACGCGTGTAGTAGTTGTTAGTGGGCTATTGAAAGATGACAGCTCGGTTAATTCACATTAGGCCACAAACCTCGCCGGCCTGAACGGTGAGACAAATACGTAGCATGTGAGAGTGCATACGAGTACTGAGCATGTACCTATTCACCTATAGAATATGCGACCAATGAAGCGGACTCTGCAGCGGCCATCCCCGTGTATCCCGTTGCCCTCCTCTCATCTATCAACAGCCTGTCTTGACCCTTGAAATACTGTTTGAGGTAAAGTAACCACAGCTTTTCTTTCAGCCGTCGCCGCAGAGGGAAACCGTTGCATAATGAAACAATGAAAGCAGTGACCAACAGAACAGTTCTTTATAAGGCTATACTATACATATACACATACAAATCTCTTTTTATGAACAGTCATCCATATGTTTTGCCACAGTCCCCTCTGAAATAGCATTTTCTAAAAAAGAAAATACTTGCTCCACATCAATTGCGAACAGAGCTTAAAAAGACTCACATTGGAGCTCTTATATTGCTTTTCTATTGTTGTCAAGTGACCATTTACAATGTTACGTAGTCTTAAATTAGTTCAACATAATCTAATGGTGTAATAAAAATGGTTAACGGATATAGTGCTGATGAGCAAACTGCTATAACACAGCAAAACAGGCTTTAATCCCTTTAACCGGCTGATAATGCAAGTAGGATTTATAACCGTCAGCATCCGTCTAACAAGGAACAGGTGTACAGAGCTACCTTTTCATCTCAAAAGGGCCCCAAAGCCTGAATAAAACATGCAAATTGTTACGTCATGCATCCTTTCAAGCTGTGTGTTGCTCAGCCAGCCCCAAGCACACGCGAGTCAAGAACCGGACTGAAGTCTAACCGGATGTTCCTCAAGGCCTCTGGAGCCCCTTCAACGAGCGCAGTTTATGCTCATAGTTCTTGATCTGTTGGATGTGTCTGTGTGGCCGTTAGATACTAAATCCTTTAGCATCTCTGTTAGATCCCTTTGACTCGATCAAGAGAATCCCCAAATATCAGCCCAGCCGTAAAAGAACAGGTGGTCGTGGATGTTACCATGATGAGGAGATGGGAACTAATAAAAAGACCACTGCGTTACCATTTGTCTTTCCAAATGTTACATACTTAACACTATTACATGCCATAGAAATATATAAATATTATAAAATCTATTTTTACACTTAGCAAGCACTGGCATGCTATTTTATTGAAACAAGCTTCCTTTCTGTTTTACTCATAAATTCAGAAACACTGCAGGATAGAGAAGGTTATAGCAAACTGTGTCAGTATGTTTAAAAAACCTGAATGGGAGGTCAAGATTTAGTCTATGCTGTGAAATTCAGTGCTGCTCAAATGTAGAAAAGAGAAGGAAATAAAAATCAACGAGTCTGTATCTGAGCTTGGAACTGTGTAACAGTCATATCTGCAGCTAAGTGGGGCCGTTTGGTCTCACACACACACACACACACACACACACACACACACACACACACACACACACACACACACACACACACACACACACACACACACACACACACACACACACACACACACCAGAGGAGATCTTTCTTTCCACATATCAAAGGCTGAACCACACTGCTGCGGGGCGGTAGAGTGACGAGGGGGTGAGGCACAGGGGAGGCGGCCATCACGACGGTGGGGCGTTCTGCTTCTGGTATATAGATGCCTTGTCTTTTAAGAGTTCCAGACATAAATGACAGCTCCAACTCCCTTGTTGCCAAAATAAGAGAGAAATTGGTTAGTGAGCCGTTTAAAGCTAAAGAAGGCTGTTCATTCATTCTTTCACAAAGTAATATGCGATTTAAACAGAAAGGTTACGACACTTTTATAGTATTTTATGTTTAAACAAACAATGGAGAATACTTCCATAATTTGCCCAATTAAAATATACGTTTTATTGATCAAAGTAGAAATAAACTCAATACGTATAAACAAAAAGGTATCAGTATTACTTCGGTATAATAACCAGTATCAACCTTTTTTTAAATCCTTTATTGCACCTTAAAATGGTGTAAAAAAATGGACTGCACAGGGAGTGATCTTACCCTCTGGAGGTTCAGCCATGGGCGGGTTGAGACAATACATGTGATAGCCTCGATCGCAGTCATCGCAAAACAGAAGCTGGTCCTGGAAGAAACACACCGCACGTCACCTTCAGTCTTCCACACAACGATGAATATCTGAATGGAGGCGGACTCACGTCGTTCTCGGAGGTGCCGCACATGTTGCAGCACTTGCACTCGATGCACTGCCAGCGGTACGTCTTCACAGCAGCCATCATCACGGGAGTGAACTGCAGGCAGGAGGGGTGACCTGCGTGTAAAAATAATGCTTATTATACACATCGCCTTTGCTGCACAGAATGACACATTTTTAACCCTTTTGCAGCGACGTACCCGAGCGCCCGCAGTCTGAGCAGGACACCAGCTCCTCGGACTGGCCAGTCTTGAGATTGGTTTTGGAGTCTCCCAGGCAGAAATCACAATATTTATTAGGCAATGCGATGCCATCTGGGCCTTTCTTGGTTGCTGAGAAACAAGATGATTAAAAAAAAAAATAATAACATCAAATCAACATCATTATCCAATGACAAAATCTCTGATAAAACAATTATTTTAATTTTTACTTTTCGGCTCATCGGGCAGCGGCAATGCAGGCTCATTGATCTCCATCTCTTCCTTCTCCTCGCCCTCCTCCTCAGCCAGGTGGGAGTGGGCGTAGTGGTAGCTCAGACCGGGGCGGTTCTTGTAGCGCTTCCCACAGACTGCCACCAAAACCAGAGAACACAATGTGTATGAAAACAAAGAATGCGTCAGCAGAGTCCATGTAATAGAAAGTCAGTGGTTAAAAGAAGAAAATACATTTTCAGAGAATCCCACAGAAATCATGGAGGTGGAGATCTATTCGCAGCACGGACCAGGACGGGAACATGACAGTACAATTCCCATACATAAACTGGAAACAGTTGAGGTCCAACAATTAAGGTCCAACCACAATTTACAAAAATAATAGTGCAGGAAATACTCTAGTACACTAGTTTTTGATGGAGCTGGTTGTGTGAGCAGCTAACGAGTGAGCATCACTAACTGCCTTCTCTCGGTTGAGAGCTCCACTTTTGCTGTACCAATAGGACAGGATGTGCTGATTGGGTATCGAGATCGAGCTCTGAACTTGCATAGACTCGTATACTTGCCATCAGCAGATACAGAATGTAAAGCTGTACGAGAGGCATGCCTACTACATCAGTATCGTAGCAACACCAGAAAAGGGAGGTCTGATGAATTGCCGCAAGTGATGTCATCCAAGTTTCAGCTAAGGACTACAAGTTTAAAAGCAGTACCTGACGGAGGTCACTAGCGTTTACTGATCTCTACTTGAGATTCAAGGCTACATTGGCTGCTATTGGCTGTTCTGAAATCGGAAAATTGCGCTCGAGGCAAAAAAGCTGTGAGACACGCGTCATCACATCCTCATAGTGGTCGTCTTGTGTTCAGTCCCAGCATTCAGATAACATCTCGGCCACTAGAAGCACCATGTATCTGCTGATCTTTACCACCACGACTTCAGCTTCTCCTTCTGACACGTTAAATAAAACTTATCTAAAAAGTTGAACCGTTTCACTACATGGACATTTTTCAAAAATATATTTGAGTGCTTATGACCTCCGTCGGTTGACAATGCAAATAAAGTTGCCGTTATCAATGACGTCACATTGCTCAGAACACTGATGTTCCTGACCTACATTTCTATTTAATCCATCAGAGGGGTAAGACAAGCCAGTGGGATTGAGTTTCGAGGCTTTACCGACTTTATAAAAAGGACAAAGTGGCCATTGTGCGCAGCCACCGTCACAGGGACGTGTGAGGTTTGTCATAAGATAAGACAAAACCCTTCTTCTTTCACTTCTATTCTTTCTCCGTTTCATTTCTCCTCAAGGCTTACGTCCCTTTTCTTCTTTTACGGTCATCGTAAAGAGGGATTAGACCTCATCCCCAGATAATCTTAGCAAAATCTCCCAAGACACAGCTAGTCACATGCATGTTATAATGTGGAGCGGCAGACACTTTTGAAAAACCAGCAACCAGGGTGCAGAGTTGCTAAAGAGGAATGATGGGTTAAAAAAAAAAAAAAAAAAAGGAGAGGAAAACCTAATGCAGTCAAATTTGCACAGATCAAGGCGCAAGACAACTCAATGGGAGATGGAAAGAAACACAGCGGGATCCAGCCACTAGATCTTGACCACAAGGGTCAGGTGGAGGGGAAAACAATACAGGGACCAGAGCTAATCTTTGGTAATTTTAGACGGCTCCCATCTGTTACAAATTACAGACTGCATTTTAATCGGGGTGTAGAATAACATGGCCATGCCCTTGGGGAATCACATCGAAGTAAATTGTGTAGAAAACAACCATGTACTACACAGAGTAAAAAAAATCTACTTGGTAACGTGAACAGAAAATGAAAACAGGCAGTGAAGAGAAACGACAAGGCAGACGGGGGTAAAAAGGAATGAGAGAAATACCTCTTTCAGACGGTTTGGAAATATGCTTTTGTTTGATAGCGTCTGAAAGAGAGAAGGGAAAGAGAAGAGAGAGCACAGACAGAGACTCAGAGAAATGGGCCCATAGACTTAAAGGATCGGTCAGTCAGCACTGCAGATAAAAGTGAAATGCTTTATAAAAAAAGGGAAGAACCCCCCCTGCCCGTTCAAGGATACGATTTCAAGAAAAGTATGAAAGAAAGCGCAGAAAGGGGAGGCAAGAGAACATGGAGACAAAGGGGAGAGAATAAAAAACGAAAGGCGATAAAGAACGAGGACTCGGGCAAAGTTGATTAGATTGGAAAAATGACAGCGGTTAACATCTGCGGTCACTCAAGACTCTCCCCCATCAGGACTCACTGTCACAGGCGTATGGCTTCTCTCGGTCCTCCACTGCCGCGGTGTCCGGCTTCTTCTTGTTACTGCCCACTCCTCGACCCTGAGGGCACGGCATCGTTAGACATCCACACCCACCCACCCACACACACACACACACACACACACACACACACACACACACACACACACACACACACACACACACACACACACACACACACACACACACACACACACACACACACACACACACACACACACACACACACACACACACACACACACACACAGCTAAGAGGTGGTTTTGATATTTACCTTCCCCTTTCCCTTGCCTCTTCTCTTAGGCGTTTCCTCCTCATAGTCTTCATCATCCAGGAAGTCATCGGGCTCAACGACTCTCTATGTTGAGGCATTAAGAAGAAGAAAAAAAGAGAAAAAAAAAATAGTTAAATCATTTTCTTCTCGCCAAATATATCTTAAGCTGAAAACAACAACCTTTCTAATGCGAGCAGCAGGGTTCAGGCCTCCGGTGCTCTCACTCAGGTTTGAATCCTCCTCGGACCCCCGGAGCTCTGTGGTCGTCCGCTTGTCCATGGACTCCCCCTTCAGCAGGGCCTCCAGGCTGCTGCCGTCCGCTGATAACAGAGCATCCTTCTTCAGCCCGACATCCAGATCTGTGAAATAAGGCACAAACTTTCAATCACACAGTGCTTTGGGTTTCTGTTTTTCTCAAATATAAGGAAAGCATGTTGAAAGAATAAAAAAAGAGGATGAGCTGAGCTGAATGATGCGATACCTGACTTGACAGAAGGAAAGATAAGCCGAGGGTCCTCTTGAGGGTGGGACCGCCGCTTCTTCCTCCACCTCCTGGATGGGTAAGTGTAGAGCTGCCCCGGTGCCATGCCTGAGGGATCAGAGCAAAGCCGTCTGTATAACACTTAATGCAGAACTGGTCAGCTTTTTTGAAAGCTTCTCATTCAAAGCCGAGAGGGCGAATTTAGCAGCAAGCTTGATTAAAGTGACCCTATGCTTCCCATTCATCCATTCAGTAAACCTCTAACAGACAAGTGGCAGCCTGAGAATGGCCCTGAGCAGATCCTTCACCGGAGACACTGGTCTTGTAAAAGTTCCAGTTGTGTAAATTACACGTTGTGTGTCCCACCTGGTCCCCTGTGTCTCTTTTCCATCCAAATGTAGCAGTTGCTCTGAGCCACGCCGGTCTGAGAGTCGAGGAACGGCATTCGGACGCTCCTCTCTGCACACAGCCTGGCATTGTAGTTATGGCATTGCTCCATGGCGTCTCTGTAGTACTGCTCTCCCAACCTGACACCACAAAACAGAGACACATGCTTGTTATTCAGTCTATTTATATATAAAAACACACAAATCAGCAGGTGAGGGTATTTCGAAGAAGGTGCAGCCTCACTTTATACCGTTTAACCTCGCTGTCAGTTCAGTTTAATACTCATTCTTATCTCTGTTGTGCTGCCAACTGAGAAAGACAGATCATTGTCTGTTCTACTTTAGACTAAATTGTTATTGAGTGCAACAACAGGAGCTCTGCTGTTGGTACATCAACAACAAAGAGCGGGATAGTCGGTCACAATTGACAACATAAATGTCCAAAAACAGTGCAGTAAGCGAATTCCCTTGTAGGAAAAACAGTAGTAGTAGTGAGAAAAAGAGGCTAATGTAAAACGTTGATCATAGATCTCATTACATTTGGTGTGTCGTAAATATTTAGTGTTGCTTATCCGCTATTTGACACGTGTGTATTATTTTGGCACACAGCTACAAAAAAAAAAAAGTTTAAAAAGTGACGTGCAACTCATCCAGCAAGCGGTCAGGTTAGCTTGTGTTATGTGTTCATATGTCACCATGGTAACTAATTACCGTAAAACGTTTCAAGTTAACCACCTGGGCAAATTCGGCGGAAATGGAAGCACTGTTTACTACAACCAGGTACGGGTCACTATGACCTGTAATAATCTCTAGAGTAACTTTATATTTTAAAGCGCGATAGCTACGATACATATAACTCCGGGTTCTCAGATTGAAGGAGTGGTGTCCGAGGCCAGAGCTCCATTCATTCTGAACTAGCCGGCCGGCCGCTCCGCGCTAACGTTGGTCCACGGCTCGTTAGCCACCTAGCTGCTGTACTTTGCGCTAGCACCGTGGCGGCCGTTGGGGCAGCAAGACACAAGTAAGCGTGTCGTCTTCGTAAAGCACACGCACGATCAAATTGGGGTGTTTCTATTATGCCGACTCGTGTTTCGAGAAAGCCATCTGCGTTTCTGCTAACTTGCACTTCCATTTCCAGGATGTGGACGACGGTGCGACGTAGGCTAACACGACTAACGTTAAGTCAGCGGAAAAGCCGCCCCGCTAGCTAGCGACTGACTGTGCAAACCTGCATTCGTTCTCATGCGGGCGCGCTAGGAGTCCACTAGTTAGGTGTAAGGGGTGTAAGTTAGAAAAGTCCGACACTTACAGTTTGACAACATTTTCAACAACAGCTGCCATCTTGCTTTGGTGGAGGGGAAAAAGTGGCCGTGGGCAACGAGCGCCCTCCGTCAGGACTTGTAGGCAGATGGCGCAGGAACGTGAGGCGCAGCGCCCCCTCCCGGAGCAGCGTGGCCTCGCGGGGTGTTTTATCGTACGAAGCGATATGAATGAGAATCTACATTATTTCCATGACATGGTTAATCTTCAGCAGCTCATGCAAATAGATCAATAATTACCCCTGTACATTAGATTCTTAATGGAAGTACAATGGAGCGGTTTGTTTAATTCCATTTACACAGACTTTGATGTCAAGCTTCTTGTTCAGTTCTATCTGAAAAGATCTTCTGTGCATTTGGACTTCCAGAATGTACAATACTTTAAATTTGTTCACTTATTTGGTCCCCCCATGGCTTTTAAAATACCCAGGAAACCATTTGCACAGCACAGACCAACTGAGGTGTTTCCTCGGTCCCCTATCTCAATATAAAGTTTTAGACATAGGTTATCTTTTTTCCTGAGGTCTTTGACCAGCACCATCTTCTGCTATACCCTTACCTGACCTGTGTGATAAAACCTGAAGGCTGAGGTTTCTCCTCACAATCTTTTAGCAAAGGTTTGCGCTGCTCTTTCAGCCACTGATTCATTATCAACCTACCATATACGTTAGTCATTATTTCATCATCCTTGATCTCCTTTGCAGCAGTTGCATCATTCATATTGTTTATGTCTGCACTGCAGCAACATCCTTCACGCCCATACAACTCATTTCATTTGCACGATAGTAAAATGTGAACATCGAGCAGATTGCTAAGGCGATGTATTTGGAAATTAGGATCCCATTCTGCTCTCTTCTAGCTGACAAAATTGTTTTATGAATTTACTTACAACTTATGTCCTGTGACAAACTAGATGATTCTCACAAGTGTTTCCTTTAACTTGTGATCTTTTTTTTGTAGTAATGTATCCTTCCTCCCTATATAGGGGTACATGATGTTCTTGGTGTTGCTTCGTATTGTTTTAATACAAAACAATGAAATTACTGAATTATTTATATATCTATATAGATTTATAAAAACCACAAACTAATGGTGCAGGTTTGAAAGAGGTGCCATTAAAGCTGCAAGAGTCTAATGAAAGACACTATTAAGTAAATGTAAGATGTAAATATCTGGATATCAGTGATTGATTTTCAAACTAAGCTCTCATGAGTCCCCCAACTTTACAGAAGAACAGTACATTGTACCAGGGACAAGGTTTTGTATGAAAACGCTACTTATAACAATAAAATTTACTGTGAAAATGTGACCTTTTCTAAAACCAACTCGTGCACCAAATAGAATAACTGCTGTAACAAATAACGTTACATAAAATAAACCCCAAACAGTATCATGATTTTGATTAAACCATGTTTTATTATTACTAATATTAGATGTAGATACAAGTCAACAAACATTCTTGATTTGTAATGAAAATGCTCCACAGCACACTGACATTGTGTGGAAGGGTCTGGTTTTACAGACACGTACCTGAAAATGGACAGCAGTTATCATATTTGCAATAAGTTGCATTAGTAACAGTAGTAGTAATAGTAACAACAGTAGCAATAATAATTATAATAGCAATTAATAATAGTAGTGGTATCAACAACTCTGAATTACAGAGGGAGGAAGAGACATTTGTGAAAAGTAATGAGAAATGAAGGTAGGATGATAGGCTTGTCACTGGATGAAAAAATACAAGCTCCCACTAGACAGCAAGTATCCCACCTTATTCTAAAAAAAGAAAGAAAAGGAAGCTCAAATTGTCCTGATCTGTTTTCACCCATGTAATACTTAACAAGTAAAAGTTGTTTTTTCCCTCTTCATTAGGTACTCCAAGTTTACAAGTACTCTCATTACTAAAAACGTGTCTTTTTGACATCAATAATACATAACTTTCCACGTTCTGGTCAAAAGATCACCAGTAGCACAAAGCTACTTCAAACGGGATGCCGAATGCAACATCCAATCACAGCCAGCTGAGGACATATCCACAAAACTGGATTGCCGGGGTCATTCTGCATTAACCGCGCAGTGCAGAATTAATGTGCGAGCCTTTGTGAAAGAGAAAGTTTGTGTACATTATGTGAAACATTTTTGCTTCTCATGACCAATTTGGCCAAACTAATTTCTATCATTCGCATTCAAATGAGCCGTTAAGAAAATACACGGTGTGACCTTTAAACATCAAGACCTTAACGTCAACTGAACGCCGCATCCGATGTCCGGAGCAGAGAAAAGGTGGCAATGATTACTATAAACAGCTCATCCACTGGGGTAGAATGACTCATCCATTTAAAATTGTGCACTATGTACGCCGGCTGCATTGGCTGACTTATCTATGCAGGGACCTCGTTGACTCGGTTCCCAGGGGATCAAAGATTTTTTTAAGCTTCTCAAACTGGGAGCCGGGTCGCCCCACACGAGACACTGAATCCAACCGACGGGAGTCGGTTTGAAAAAGTTTGGAGCAGGTTCCGTCACCTCTTCAATAGTCTCAGAGTGGATGTTCAGATACTGGTCACCTCTGGTTCAGGGGTGTCTGAGCAATAGATCTCTGGTTCCACATTCATTTGGGACTGCGAGATAAGGCCGACCTGTTTGTTTCCAGCGGTTTGTGTTCCACATTCTCCCGAGCCGTACGGTACGCACGCCTACAGCCCGCAGCTTTAAAGAGGTACTTTCCAGGTGGAATAAATGACTTAAATAGTTGAAATAAATCTAAAACTCCTGAATTCAGGTTTTCCTGAAACTTCTTGTGGCATTTTGGTAGTTACAAAGGTAAATTCAAACTTGGATTCGAGTGAGTGACTATAGCAACAGTTAACAATCAATTTATATAACAATTCACTATTGTCTACGGTCTCACATAATACTGTATATGCCTTTATCGGTTCAACCATGTACCATATTTGAGGGGACTAATAAATGAATGAAATATGTCGGGTTGCCATGATTTTGTTTCGGATTACTGTAAATACCAATTAGTTGCTCTTGGACCCTGTATATGAAGTGATCTCAGAAGAGAATAGATGACACACATACAAGTATAAACCCACATGAAGTCACGCCACGTATGCAAGAGCACGGAGCTCCTCTTGGAGACACACGAGGACTTTCGCTCTCTGCCAGTGAGTGAGTAGAGCGTCCCATGATTACTGTAATTCCTGTAGCACCTGCATACACCTGCATCAGATCATTGCCACGGGGCACATTTTATAACACTCCTGTCTTTCGTGCCACCGAAAGTATTCCTTTAAGACAGTTTGAATGTGGGGTGGGTTTGTAAAAAGGGGTTCAGTGTATCTGTAGTGGGTTCAAGTAAGGCTCAATACACCCGTCTGTCGCGGAGCACATTGACAGCGTCCTTCACTGCCGAGACAAACATGGCTTCCCTTAATGAGAGCTGTCCACCTGCGGTCTGCCACAGAGAATGTGCTTCAGCGTTGTATCTACCAACAGCCCGCATGCCATCACACCAGTAGATAGAGAGAACAGATAGAGATATTAAAAGACTAAAACAAAAATAATTAAACCTCAGAAATTCATAGGTAATGTCGGCCTACATGTAATAGAAACCGGAAGCAAAGAAAAAGCTGATTTTATGAAATCATTCCAGTAATATTATGTTGTGTCTGGATTTTGTCTGCATACCAAAAAGCAGCATTCATCCTGCCATGTTTTATCAGGAAGAACATAAACGTGCAAAGTCCACAGCACCACAACTCACACGCACGCACACACACACACACCCACACACACACTAGAAAACTAATCTTCTCTGTTTTGTACAGAAAAAGTAATGTTGAAAATCAAGCAGGAAAGACCACTCAAAAGAAATGATGAAATACAGGCATAATTGAGACAAAATTAAAAATTAAACCACTTATTAAATATATATATTATTTTCCCAATGAAACTTGTGATCACTTACTGCACACTTCTAAAATTTTATGAGCTTTATTTTTTTTCTCGCAACACCTCTTCAACTGTCATTCCTAAAAAAAATTTTTACATACAAGGGCAAGCCCAACATTCTCAACTAATTTAACCAAATTTGTTTCTCTCCACAATGTTTTAAGAATATCTAATGGCAAATTAATCTGCTTGTTTTCTCAAAGCAGCAATAGCAAAAGATAAATAATAAAAATAGCAATAATAATCCGTCAGGTTAATAACATCAATACCAAAAACAGAAAAAGAGACTGATGTGATCCTCAAAAAGCGCTTTAAAGCAGGGAAATAAAACCAGAGTGCACCCCAGTGGAAAGCCACCATCCATTGTTTTATTGGATGTTTTATATAATGACACAGCATCCAAAGTGCTCCGCTTCCTGCGGCCTTCGTATTCCTTGCAGGACATCGGCCAATGACAACGTTTCCACCGTCAAGACTAACTGAAGAGACGATATTTGTTCCGAAGGAGGAACTGGTCCTGAATCTCTAGTAATGCAGACCACTGGCGGGAATCGCCTGAATTTGGATGAGGGCTTTCACCGTCGGGTGCAGCTGAACTTGAATTCTGAATTGGCTGAAGGAAAATGTGAATGACAGATAGAAACTGGCGAGGGAAAAAATAAGAGAAAGAAAAAGAGTTCTCTGTAAGCCACGTTAAGTAGCGGTCAACAAATTCCTTGTGGTCTGCGCTGAGAGCAGCGCGGCTGTGTTACCTGTCTGCAATTTGCTTTTCCGACTGCTTCAGTTCTTTGAAATTTAAACAAAATGCACTTTCCAGCGATAACACGAGTGTTCTATTTTTTTTTGCCAAAGAAGCTGAACCTCTTCTCGCGATCCTTGTCTTTCCCGTCTTTGTTACGCATGGTGACGCCCCCGGCTTCCCCCGAGCCGGAGGAGATGGGAGGCATGGTCATGGCGCGGCTCAGCGCCCGTGGACCTACGGGCGAGTCCGCCGCTCCTGTTGGAATGGAGCTGATGATGGAACGGATCCAGGAGCTCATCTCGGCCTTTAAAACACAAACCAAAAAAAGAGGCGTTACGCTTCAAAAACACCACTAGCAGTCACAGCGCACACGTCATTTGTATTTTTGATGAGAGAAATTCTGTTTTTTTATATATCTTACCTCATCCTTTGCTTGAAACAGGTACTCTTTTCCATCCCCTAGCCTGCAGACAGTGTTGAAGATGTAAACCATTAGTCAGATATTAGCTCCTAGGTCTACATCTCACTGTTTTATCATCTCAGTACTTCAACGCCTTTAATTTCATTCGAACAGGGTGAAAAACATACTCTTATCGTTCTCACCTGAGCTTGAATACAAATTTTCTCTTCTTATAGTCGTGTGCTACCTCGCAGACTGCCTCTCCCAGGCTGATGGGTACCTCTCCGTGGTATGGAATGCCACCACTGGCGCTCTTGCCGTCTTTGTAGAAACCCAGACTTCCTTTTCTGAGGACACAGTAGACGTTCTGCCAGGACCTGCAGGAACAAAGAAATACATCATGTCATTCGGCGCCACGGTCCTTTACCTTTTGTGGAAAGGTAGCGACACGGCAAAACACAACTTGAACGCTGAAATAGACTAAATGAGACCATATGAAATAATGTAGAGACATGATCCTGAAGTTTGAGGGTTCTACGGCATCTGACAGACAAGCAGTTTAACACGTTATGGAAAATTAAGACAACCAACTTAGTTTATTATCCAGAAGTCTTGACTCTGTGAGGACTATTTAAATGCACTCGACCGGCAAACAACACTCACCGGGTAGCTGCCTTTTTGTTGTGGGACTCCATCTCCTGTTTTCGACAAAGCATTCCCTCCGTGGTGTCCGGCTCGGCTCCGCCCCTGCCCGGTAACGTGGCAGAAGGATCGAGGCGAGAGGAGGCCAGCCCGCTGTCCCTGCCGGGTCCGTTCACCGACTCGGATTCGGAGCCCTGTGGTTTGGGCCGAGACATGAGCGGTCGTGAGCGTGTAGAAAAACATGTGACTGGATGAACGCGGTGATCAGCAAAGAAAGCCATTAACAGCCAGATGCGAGAAATCAGGATGACGCTTGTACACACAGTACGGCACTCTGATTTCAAATTAAAATAACCGCTCATGAATGCATCCTACACTGAACATAGATAATTGTTTAAAAAGATTATTGATGTAAAAAAAAGTCAAAAATGTTCTTTGGCAACCAAATATATCTTTCGATCGATACCAATTTAAAATTGAAATATTACTATTCTTTAAATATTCATTGACTCTTCAGTCAATTCTCTATGAATCAATAACTACAACACACAAAAAAAGACCAAAACATGAACACACAGTTACACTTCTAAAGCCTTAAATCCACATCACCTACGTTTACTTTTTGAACCTTAAATAGAAAGAATATATGATCCCCTTTAAAGTACTAAGAGGAGAAGAAATTATTAACAGCTCCGGAGACATTATTATGTCTTTTTCCAACATAGAGCTGTTAAATGAGGTTCACACTCATCACAGGCAATGAACACATATAGGGGGAGACTAAAACAAGACAAATCGGCTACAATTTTCACCACAGCAGCACATTTACATTTACAGTAACTCTTGTCCTGGTCAATGAGAGCACATACACAGCAGACTGGCACATGAGAACAAGCTCTCCATGAATCTGCATCATGCCTTTAAACAGCAATGGAACTCGTGGATGAAAAATGATGGGGAGCGATGGCTTCTCAACAGAAAAAAAAAGGCGCTGCATTTGACCAGGAGCTGAGCGGAGGCTGTGACGAGGGGAAGCTACAAAGCCGACCACGGCTTGGTACTCACACGCTCCGGCTGCTTTGGCTTACACACGCGCTTAGGCTCTGATTTCTTTCCCACTGATAGCGATAATGACTGCTGATGAGAACGCAATAAGAAATTGTTAAGACGTGTCCTCTGTGGCAGACACTTGAAAGTTAGAAACTGGGTTACACTCCTGAGACTTTGTTCATCTTCTCATAACTGCCGTCAACAACGGTGTCAACAAACCATTTCATTGATGAAGTACCAGTAAGAAAGAAATGGCTGCCTTTCTCTGGCTGACACCGGGACATAAGTTTGCTTGCTGCTTCCCACACGGCATTTGTTTTGACTCTGGCAGTGAGGATTGTCATTAGGACAGTGTAACATGCAGGCTGTCCCACTGAGATCCCCCCCCACATGTCCATTCATTTAGGGTCCCTGGGAGAGTTTCTCGCTCTGCAAATCCCAGGTGGCCCTGAGTATCATCAACAATATTCATAATCAAAACTTTGCTGCTATTCCTGATAAAATGCTGCTCCATATTCATTTATTCTAGGTATTTTCTGGTAAAAAAAATGTTATATTTTGATTGGATTACATCAATGTCATTATATAACAAGGGAATATGTGGGAAGGGAAGAACCCTGCTGATTAGAGTACAACAGACAGAGACACACACTCAAATACAGTGATAAATGCAGTGTAACATAGGTTTGGACAATATAATGATATTCATATTTTGCAACACAATCATGGACATCTCATGTTGACAGTAATGCAAATACACAGTATTTCATTAGTTAAATAAGTTAGTAATTAGTTATCCTTTCTCTAGAAAACAGATTGATTAGAGAAGTAATGTCGTAATGTAAGGAGATGAGGCATGAAACATGGAAAAAACTGTACGGGACATTAGATGTAATAAAAAGGATTGACTCCTGTAAAACCCTGTAATGTTCTAAGGAACTGTATCTACAACACACTCACCTGCGACGTGTCGTTGTCACTGTGAACTCCATTCACTGACACAGACTGGTTGAGGGTGGTCTGGTCCAGACTGGTTCTGAGGAAAATATAATTAAAATACAATAAAAACAGTGTGTGATGATCCTGTACATCAACACAGCTCTGCTCGACCAGAAGTCCTCTTTGGTTTACCTGGCTAAAGAGTCATGAACCTGACTTTCTGTTTCAGATTGGGCCACTTCTGCCAGGGGTGGTGTCGGGGGTCGCCTGGCTCTCTCTTCCTCCTCTCGCCTCCTCTGCATCTCTTGCTCCTCAAGCTAAAAAATGTCAAGTCTCATGAGTGGGGGAAAATCAAGGCCTACATTGTTGAGATGAGTGGTGGACGTGCTGCACCTGTTTTCTGATGCGAGTGTTTTTTCTACCTACCGTAGTAAGTTTCTCCAGCAGCACAAAGCGGTCTTCCCAGGCCGTGGCGAGTTTCTCAAAGGCCTCGTGGCGCTTAATTAGGCTCTCGACCTCATCTACATTTGAGCCCAACTCTGCAGCTCGCACCAGAGGCTCCTGACCTGCCAACCAAGACTCTGCCACACAGGCGTCGCGCCCGAACTGCAACACCTCCAGCACTGCGATGTGAGAATAAGGCAAGCAGAAGGAGAGGGGGAGAAAAACCAAAAGGAAAATTGATCGTGAAACATTTAATGGGATATTAAAAAAATATGGTATAAGTAACATAAAAAACTATCAGCAGTGATTCAGGTACACATTTATAAACCAGACCACAAAATAAAAACATAAAACAAATGACTTAACACTGTGCAATCCCTGCCAATGAAATAGTTTTAAGTACAAATACCGTGTAGTTTTAAGCCTGTGGTATTTTACCATTAACCTCACCAGTCGTGACAGGAATACATTTTGGATGCCATGATAACCTCTAAACCGGGCGTACCTGTACCTGGGTTTGTTCTGCTAATTTTACACTGTAGCAGCCATAACAAAGTATTGTCTGTATTTAATTTGCCATGGCAATTTAAAATTGAATGTACCCGACGCAGACTTATATACTTAATATATGCTAAGCAGGCATACCAATTTGTAGATGGTCCATCTTATCTTGCCACTTATTGTTGATCTTCTCTCTCCCTTCCTGGACTTGAGCCAGTTTCTCGCGGATCTGTGAATCAAAGAACATTTATGATTGATACTTTATTGATCCATCAAGAGGGAAATTTTGGACGAGAAGACACGTGAAAAGATGTGACCCTGAGCCCACAATGTTCCATTTAGTTTGTTTACATCTCACTCAAGAGAGTTTATTTTAAAATATTAAATAATGTAGCTGCAGTGAAAGTGACCCACTGCACAGTACCTCATCAGCTGCATAATGGTTGTTGTTGATGAGAGAATTTCCCATCTCATTACAGGCAGTAAAGCTGTCTGCCCATGTCTCAATCTCTGACTTGATGTCCTGATGATTGGCTATGACCAACCCAGCAGAAGACACATCCCTGGGAAAACAGAAAGGAGAATACCGTGAGATTTAAATTGCGCGAATTACAAAAGCATTCATCACTGGAAAATGTAGCATCAAATGTCACCTGGGGCTGTCGTGTGCGTCAATCTGCAGATTGACACTATCCATCCAGAGCATTAGGTCTCGGACCATGTTGAGGAAGCGGAACTTCTCCACAGTGTCCAGCAGGAGGAGCCTGCGGGCCTGACCTGCCTCAAGCAGGCCCTCCCAGGCGGAGGTCACAGCCTGTTCGCTCCTGTTAATGTCGTCCGCCTTTTCCCCTGCGTAGGCCTTCTGCAGCCGTGCTGCATCATCTTGCACCTGGTTCACCTGCGAGGTCAAAGAGTAAGAGGGACGTTCAGTTTTCTGCACACACGGCTCTCGTGGAATCTCACATGAGAGCTCTTTATCAAGCCGACCTGTCCGCTCAGGGCCTGGATGTCATTTTCGAAAGTGTTGTGCTGTCTGTGTAGATGCTGAACGGTGTTCAAATCACGGCCGAGGTCAGAAGGCAGCCCTTCTCGCTTCTCCTTAACACGTCCGAGCACCTCCATGGCATCCTGATGGAAGCGGTGCAACTCATAGGAGGCCGCTAACATTTGCGTGCGGGTGTCGATCAGCTCCAGCAGATCGGCCCAAGCCTCGTTCAGCCCGTCTTTCCACTCAGCCACACTAGCGTTCTCAGGATGACCCGACTCAATCAGGTCATCTGCCAGCCCGTTGACCCCATCCACGCGCTCCTGGCCAATGGTGCTGGTGTCACGAGCAAACTCCCGGAACTTGTCCCTCAGCATCTGGAGAGAGAAAAATCAGGGCGGAAGTGGGAAACATAATTCATTTGAGATCAATTTCCCTTAGTTTCAGTATGATGGAGAGAAGAAAAGAAAAAAAAATCTTACTGTAACATGTTCATAGTCCTGCCCTAGTTCATGGGAGCCAGCAACCACCTCCCTCTCAGCAATCCACTGTTCCAGGTCATCCACCTCCCGCTTCAGTTGGGTGAGCCGCAGTCTCTCCTGAAGTCGCCCTCGACGCTCCTCTGCAAGGTCTTTCAACCCGGCATACAGTTTGTCAACTTGTGCTTGCCGTAAGGTGATTCTCTCGCTGTCTCAGCACAAAAAGAGAGCAACACAGATTAGTGGTTGTGGGTATACAATTTATTTTACTAGAAGTCTCCTGTCACAATGGACACTCAGATCTATTTGTCCTCTCCCACCTCTCTGGGTGTTCACCGTTCACCATGGTGCGGCTGCTGTTGGCTAGTTGGTGAATGGTTTGGGCGTAGTCTTCAAGTGCCTGCTCCAGGGTCTGGTGCTTCTTGACCATCACCAGTGCACTTTGCTCATCCTAGGAGACAAATGGGAAATTATTTGATATTTTTCTCAAGACAAAATTTTAAAAGCAGCACCCTAAGCAATTATTTATCGTTTCATCTTCTCGTCCTTACCTTGGCTTTTTCCTCAGACATCATGTGGAGCTCCTGCTCTCCCATCCAGGCCTCCGCCTCCGCCGCATCAGCATAGAACTGCTGGGCGCGATTTGCCTCCATTAGACGGGCATGGCGCTTGTCTGTCTCGGCTATCAGCTGGTCCCAGAGGTCCCGCAGCTCAACAAGGCGCTCCTCCAGGACAGACTGTCTTTCTCCATCTACCTGGCTCTGAGTCTGGCCTCGTCTATGAATGTCATCAATGCGGGGCTGGTGGCCCTGGATCTCCTTTTGCAATGTCTGGTTAAGAAATCAAAGTCATTTATCTTCTTCAAAATCCCCCTGCAGTACAAGATCTGAAACCAAGTCATTGTATTCACTGTACCTGGTTCTTCTTGATTAGCAGCTGTACGGTGGGCAGGTCTTTTCCATGGTCTGTGGAGTCGGCCAGGGGCATCCTCTCCTTCACCCAGAGCTGAGAGGAAAGCAGACGGATAAACAGATCCATGAGCAACAGGCAAAACAGATGCAACACGAATAATTACTCAAATGTTCACATTTAATTCAACTCACAATTTCATCCTCCAGATCTCTGTTGAATTGGTGTGCTTCTTTGGAGGCAAGTAGTCGCTGTCTCCTCAGTGTGAGAGGATCCTGAAGGTTAGAGAAGTTGTCGGTGACGCGCCTTTGCTGACCATCTACCTCAGCGATCCCAGCGTCTTCCTGGGACAGAGCCAGGGCCTGAGTCTGCAGGGACTGCACCTCCTTCTCTCTGACCTCCATCTGGTGCTCCAGCATCTGCACAGCGATGGTACAAAGATGTTAGAATGCACTCAGCCAGTCCAGGATTCATACGATGTTGATTTTTGGGGACATTTTAAAATCACAATGTATGTGTTGTATAAAAACTGAATTTCTCAACAGCAAGGACGATATGCATTGTGCTTTGCACAAACATCTACCTGGTGCTTCTGGAGTAGAATGTTGACACTAGTCAAATCTTTGCCATAGTCGTCGCTATGCAACTGGCCCTCAAGGTTTTTCAGCCAGACATCCAGAGCAGAGCAGCTCTGTGTAAAGAGCTCTGCCCGGTTAGCATCGAACAAGCACTGGGCCTTGGTGCGGGTGGTGCCCTCCAGCTCCTCCCACTGGCGCTGCAGGTCCTCCAGGGTCTGCTGGACAACAGGTTTAAGCTCCGGCTTCTCGGCCACCAGTGCCTGGCCCTCCTGTTGGAGACAAGAAACAAGGAAGTTAGAATTCAAGTTAATGTTTTGGTAATGTCAGTCCTGGTAGACCAGAAACAAAAATACAAACGAAATAGGACAAATTAAACAATGTCGATTTACTGTTTAACAGCACAAAATGTGATGACAAGTCATATGAAAATGGCTGCACCTTATCAATCTTGTCCAGCCAATCTTTGTTGGAGGCCAGCTCTGCCATGAAGGCCTGATGCTTCTGCCACTTGCTGTGAAGATTTCGGGCCTCATCATAAGACATGTCCTGTGCCGTCAGCATCTTCTCATTTATCCACAACGTGAGCTACAGAAAAGAGAAAGGCATTTTGGATTCATTATAATTGTTGCATACTTTTGGGGAAAACCTTTTGCAAAAAATAAAGAAATACTAGTTATCAACACAAGTTTTACAGTTTGTTTGGATTAAATAAGCAATTTATAATCACAATTCTAGGAAACTTCCACATATTTATCCCTCATGTATCTTTACTAATTTAACCAGTATGCTATTTAATAACGATCACCTCCTGTCCATCTTGGAGGAAGTGCTGCAGTTCCCGGTTGTCCTTGAGCTTGGCGAGCAGTTCATTTGCAGCCTCCTTATTCTTAACATGCCTGGAAAAAATTAATTACAACGCTAAATAAATATCTACTTTTTTAAATATTGCAACATTAATACATTAAATGTGGCTTGCTTCGTCTAACCTTTCCTGGATGGAATCCACTTTTTCTTCTATCTTATCAGAGTTTGCATTACTGTCATGAATAAGACGCCGTCCAGCCTCCACCACACCAATTATCTTCTCCTCACTGGCCTCTGTGGTAGTGAGGAAATCATCATGCTTCTTAATGGCCTCCTCTGCTCCTTGAAGACTGGTGGGCATTTCTGTGTGGGACAGCACATACTCCTACACAGAGAGGAAAGGAATGTGATTCTTTTAAAAACATTTCCTATGCGCAGTTATCTTATTGCAATGGTTTTTGCAGTGATGTATTAAGATTAAAACATCTAAATAAATCACTAATTGGGAGGTACTGAAGAATTCAACAAGATAGAAATAGAATTTGTCTTTGAATCCAAACTCTTAGGTTGGCCTGAGACAACTTAGAAAGCTATGATAATAACTCTCCCTGCGTTGTTTGCCTACTGTAGTATAGCACCCTTTACCATACAGTATGTATGGCCCACTCACAATGCATCTAACCTCTTCAAGGTGTTCTGATTTGAGAAAACCCAAATTGGTACCCAGTTATGGGTTTTCTTTAACTCTGTGGTACAAGCTTCAGCTCCATTGAGGGTTTTCCTAACCTGGTTGTTGAGGAAAGCCTCTGCCTGCTTCGCGTCTCTCAAGAACGTCTGGAAGTCAAAGGCCTGGGCCAAGAGATTGTGGCGGTTCTCCCACATGCGACGCAGCTCGTGCCAGCCAGTGTCCAGGGCCTGGAGTCTCTGGGCCAAGAACATGTGCTGGGCATCGGTCTGACCTTGTGTCACTTCCTCACCGACCGCTCGCATCTTCTCGTAGTCCTCCTTATAGTTATCCACCTCGTTCTTAATGCTCTCGTGCTGGGCTAGCAAACTTTCGGCCTCAGGCACGGAAGTAGGAATGTCCTCCGAGGCCACAGCCGTCTGGGTGCGGGACAGCCAGGACTGAAAGTCATTCAGATCCCTGAGGAAGCCCTGAAGCTTGCTGGCCTCTCCCAGAGACTCCTCGCGCCGCTTCATGGTGGCGTTCAACTCCTCCCACACTTCTTGAATCTCTTCCAGGTGTCCTTGAATCTCTCCTGCCTGATCTGGATGTTCCAAGGCCAGTTTTTCAGCCTCGTTCCTCAGGTCATCCAGTTTGCCCTGAACGGATATGAAAACACAATTTAACGCAGACATGAGGACAAGTTACCACAATATGAAGCCCAGGATAATCCTACTACTAATTTACCAGATTTCTGTCTGTTCTGCTCTCAACCCTCACCAATAAGTCTCTGCATGTGACCTCTCCATACCTGAATGGCCTCCAGGTCCCTTTCCATGCCAGTGAGTTTGCGTTGCAGCGCCATCACTCCAGCCAGGTCGTTGCCCAGGCTCTGGGTCGACTCAATCACTTTGGTTTTTTCTTTCATCCAAGATTGGATTTCATTACACTCCAAGTGGTAGTTCTGGATGTTAAGGGCTGACTCTAGGGCAACTTTCTTTTGGTCAGCCAGTTGTTCAAACTCCTTCCATCTAGGGACCAGAGCAAATGTTACATTAGGCTAAAATGCTAACCACGTGCAGATCAAATGTAATTCTTGATTTTACAAGGTCTGTCAACTCTGACCTGTTGTGCAGTTGGTCTCGTGTCTGATGGATTTGATCTTTGTTACAGTTGTCGGAGCTCAGCAGCTGCTCAGCCACCTGATTCACATCAGTGACACGAGTGCCTAGGTTGTTCATCTCAGGTTCCAGTGTCTCAAATCTGCAGCAATAAATAATAGACCAGCATCAATTCACTTATTCTGGGTAGTCGAATCCAATTTAGACTAGATATTTCCACAAAATACAACTTTTTGACAGTAGGCTTATCATTCTCATCTTTCGCCCAGACTAACCTCTGTTGGACCACCTCTAGGTCCTCCAGCTTGGTAGGGATCTCCATGCCATGTAACCACTGCTCCTTTTCCTCCACCCACAGCTGGCAGGCACCGGCTTCACTGAACATGCGGTAGAGGGCCAGGGCCCCCTCCAGAGCCTGGCGCCGTGCTACTGACAGAGACTCCAGTTCTTCGTAACGCCGCTCAATATCAGGAAGGCGACCATCCACCTACAGTCAGCCACGAACAATGTTTAGCACCACAAACAGTAGGTCATCACTTAAAATGTATGCAAAAAATAAAGCACACATACCTCAGGGAAGTGTATATAGGCCTGTGGCAGTGCTTGCACCTGCTCGTGCAGGGAGTCGATCCCGGGGCGGTGACTTTGGATCTCCTCCTCCACCTCCCTCTGCTTGCGAGCAATAGTTTGGGTGGAGAACTCATCGTGGCCAACCTCTTGACTTGACACCTGTCTAAACGTCTCCATGATCCATGCCTCCATGTCATTGGCGTCTGTTTGAAACTGGTGCAGGGCCACGGCTTCCTTGAGGCTCTGCTCTCTGAGCTTAGTTGTCTGGGGAGCAGACAGAACGTAATAATTGCAAACCGAAAATAAGCAATAAAAGCATCCATTTATATGCTACAAATGCAATGAATTGTGATCTTAACCCACCTCCTCCAGGTGTGCCCACTGTGCGTTGATGTCTTGAATCCTTTCTACGACCTCTGGAGCTCCAAAGTGACCCTCCTGAACCAAAGCTTCTCCAGCAGCGATGCTGTTACTCAGGGGGCCGTAGCGAGCTGCCATCTCATCCCTGAAGGCCTCATGTTTGCTGAGCAGGTGAAGGGCAGAAGTGAGGTCCCGGCCACAGTCTCCGCTGGCCAGGATCTGCTCCTGCTCTCGGATCCAGGCTGCTTCTTCTCCCACATCCCACTGGAACTGCCACAAGCGGCGCGACTCCTCAAGACGCACTCTACGTTTCCCGGCAAGCTGACCTAGCTCCTCGTAGGCTTGACCGAGAAGGTCAACCTTCTCACTAACTAGTCCCGGCTCACACGGTTTGTAGGCTGCCAATTAGAAAAAGGCAGGAACACATTGCACTTAGATCTTATGCACACAAAGAAAGAGACCAAATCTACATGAGCTGTAGACTCACCCTGTTCATAAGAAGTGAAGCGCTGTGCCGCTCCCTGAACGGCCTTGATCCTCTCTGCCTGCGCTGAAATGTCAGCCTCTACCAGAGTGTGTTTCTGCAGTAGGTCTAACACGTCATGCAAGTGTTTGCCACAATCCTGAGACTGCAGACGACCCTAAAAAAGAAAGACAAAGTATGTATCTAGTTTTGGGACTTTGTCCACCAACCGAATGTGTGAAGAGAGACTGAGTAACATTTAAAACTGATTGAATTGACTCATTACCATTTCATGAGTTACGTTTGCCAAAAAAAGCAGTAATGGATGAGAGCAGAATTCCAACAAGCTTCAGTACATTAACTTGCTGCTACATTAACAATAAAATAGAAACAAAAATCTGTATGCAAGCATTTGAATTATTGGCAATGGTTGATTGAATGAATCACAAGGACGTTAACAGCAATTTCCCAGTAATTATAATAAATATATCTTCATCCCAGCTGTCACCCAACAAAATAAAATACCTTTTCTCAACTGGGAAATTTAAAGAAAACCTCAAGTGCCAACATTGTAATGGGTCAAAAGCAGTAAATAGTGCAATATTTATTATTTAGGTGGGGGTTGGCTAATAACGTAAGGAGGGGTGAGTAGTAGAGAGAGGCAAACACGATATATATATCTTTTACAGAACTGATCAATATTCACAAGTCTTTTAAATAATAATAATAATGATGATAAATACATTAATTGTTATGATTAAGACCCAGATTTAACCAACTCCGGTGAAAAAGACTCCTAGTGACTGAAGTCGCTTCAGTAAGGCCAATGACAACGCAGCGGAAGATAGGCCTGTAAAAAAGCTAATTACTGCCGTTTATGGCCCTCAGATAAGCACAGACACTAAAGCTGCCGGGGACATATGTTAACAAACACCAACGGACTTGAGAGGATTAGCGAATTCCTTTTTTGTTGATTAAAAATAAAGCCAACAGAACGTTGGAAATCGACGCAGTAGTTCAAACCAGTTAAAACACGCGCTCATTCTGCTCAGTAGGAGTACGTGTCGGGTCGGGTCAGTACCTTCATGTCCGCCATCCAGTCCATGATGTAGCGCATCTCCTCAAACAGTCTCTGAAGGTCGCGGTGGGCGTTCAGCCGCTCTCTGCGTGCGGCCAGAAGCTCCTTCAGGTATTCCCAGAGTCGAAGCACATTGTCCCTCCGTGCGATTACACGCCGCACGTCATGGTACCGCTCTGCTTCCATTTCTTTGGCGACGGCCTCTACAGCAGCCACGCGCTCCCAATATGCCCCGATGTCGGTCTCTATTGCTTCGTGTTTGCGGGTGGCTGCTTCCACAGCTCCCAGGTCAGTTCCGAAGTTGTCCTAATTACAGAGGAAAGGGAGCTCAATCACGGGGATCCATGCGTTCACGTCAGAAATGAGGATGCACCTGCAGCCACGCATATGTCCGTCTTTAGTTGTATTACCTGAGACACCAGCCTCTGGTTCTCACTCAGCCACGTCTCCCGCATGGCGGCCTTGCGATCAAAACGTGCGGCCAGCATCTCCAGCTTCTCCTGGCGGATCAACTCATTCCTCAGGGCCAGCTCTCGCTCGTGCTCGGCCTTTTCCAGTCGCTCCCATGCCTGCGGCGTGAAAACACCAGAGGTTGGAAACGCGCTGCATTTAGGGTACTGAATACAGCTTACATGCTAAATGTCAATTGCATCACATGTCTTGGTGGGAAAAAAACGTCAGTCGTTTTATAGAACAACCCATACCTTGTTGATGTCGGAGATGAGTTTGCCCTCTCTGGGCATGTAGACCTTCTGATTGTTTGCTCTCATCTTGCTCTGGATAGTGAAGAGAAGAACTTCCAAGTTTCCTTTCTCAGTGAATCTGTGTAGACAGAAACCAACTTGGTTTGACATTGTATACAGCTTCTTACTATGGATTCTTGTGGACGACAAGCATTGGTGTGTGCGTGTGTGTGGGGGGGCGCATTCACTAGCTTGAATTAGCACACTCACTTGGGGGGTTTCTCCACAGTTCGGTAGGAGTTAAAAGCCTGCAGCTGGTTTTGCACAGCATTCAGAGAGTTAGCTAGCTGCCGATCATTGAGCGTCCCGATGGTCTGCTCAATCCACTGCAGCAGCTCTGAGGCCAGACTCTCATACTTCTCTATGAGTTGGTCAGCCTCGATAGCATAGTCCAGTACCTGCAACCGAGCGGGAAGTGTGATTCAAGGCAGCCTCTGGGCACACATTTTACTCACACATACCGTGCACACACACACACACACACACGCAGCTCACCTTGCCAATTCGTTTTCCCTCCACTGCCAGGGCTTTCATCTTTGAGAAGTAATGGTAATAGGTTGCCACGTAGGTAATAATGGACTTCTCATCAGGTTGATCAACATTAACATCTGGAGAAAAAAAAAAAACTCTTTTAATTTAGTGACCATGAACCTCATCATGAATAAGAAAACGTGTCTAAACTTTCGACTGGTACTGTATTTTTAGCAGACATGTGATGAGGTGTTGCCTTCAACAGCCATCAGTCTTTTTTTGAACAGCAGTGCCTTAGCAGACAGTGTGACTCGTGACAGATCATATATTTGCGGCAGCTTTACCCACTTACCTTCTGGGTCGAGGAGCTTGGTGAGCCCAAGATCCTTCTCAGCCACATTGAAAGCGTTCTGGAGATTGTAGTGAGCGTTGGACCTTTTCAGGTTGTCAAACTCAATCACGTCAGGTCTGCAAAGCCCAGGGAACAATTCCAGTTTTAATAATAACAGGCGGCAGGGTGAAAGAAATATCATTCGGGCAGACAGAGACATACAGCATCAACTATCTGCAACCATCACGCAAAACCCAAACTTCTCTGTTTACGGAATATGATGCATTAAGTAATCCTTTGGATTTAGGTACAGTCATCTACAGGCAAACAGGCTTATCTGTGGATTAGGCAAGCTGTTCAGCCAGTTATTGCTTATTCTTGCCTGAACTATGTTTGAATTTTGAGCTTACTTATGCATTAGATGGATGTGAAATCAGCATATCACTTTGATGACCGAATAGGTATGAATTACCATTGTCAAAATATGAGAATGTGGACAAACAACAGCAGGATTTTCATGAAGACTCGGTAGTCATTGCCAGAGGTTTGAATTGTACAATGGTCATGAAACATTGTACTCCACAGCATGTTCTCAATTTGTGAAACTTGGATCAAACTGCTTTAACAATGGAAAGGGAGAATAGATATTTAGTTGCAGATCTTCAAGTGTCTGCTGTTTTGACTCCACTGTGTTTTGAATGGAGCCTGATCCTGTAAATATCAGTGTCAGGTTTACATGAATATCCCATGGCTCAGTAACTCTAATGAAAACCATGTTGGCATTCATATATCAAGTATCAACTTAAACATGTATTAGGTTGAACAGCAGAGTGTGCAAGAGAGTTATCAAGTGTGGTTCTTTTTACAAGATAAGTGGGTTATTATTTCTGTGATCTAGGTCATCTTACTCCCTATTTTCATCCTTTTAGCCACAACTGTTCGAAGGATGAGTAGAGTAGACGACCTAAATAGAAAAGGGGATAAGACACACCCTAGAGACCCCCTGGTAACACGACCGATCATTTGCTAAAGAAAGATGAACGAGTGGGTGACAATTATTTGAGGGAAAGACCTGTAATAATATGCTTAACAGGAGCCGTTTGTTGTGTGTTAGCAGCTACAGGAAGAAGTCAATGACCTGTGTTTGTGCACGATGGCACTGAACGCCAGGCCATCTCTCCAGCTGGTGGTGAAGTTGTGAATGTTGACATTGGGGTATCTGCAGAGGCCAAAGTCATCAATCATTAACCGATCACAGCACCTTTCATCAGTTTCCATCTTAGTAAAACCACAAATATCAAATGGTCAAAAACAGCTTCAACAAATCAGAACTATTTATTGTTCTACTATTATTGTTTACATCCAACTCACCCAGCAGTTTTCATTTGGCACCAAAGCAGCAGGGCATCTTTAGCCGATTTCTTTTCCTTGTTGTCTTCTGTCTCCACACTAATGTCCTGGATCTGTCAGCAGAGCATTCTTTAGTTAAGGATTGTTAGATAAGTAGACATTATACTGTCATGACTATAATCTTTACAACATTGTATCTCAGCAAGGATTCTAAATGAATGTTTGCACGATTAACTATTAAATAACAGCAGTATCAAAGTCTATTACTCATTCAGTGAGTTTAAGGATGGGCTTGGCTTCACACAGAGACCGGATGTCCCAAAAGAAAACCTGCTTGAGCGGCACGGCACACACTCTCAACACTACTAACTAACTCTATGTGTTACCTGGAAGCGAAGGATGATGGTCCAGATGAGACCCAGGGTGAGACGGTGATTCCCGTCAACAATGTCATGTGATCCCATGTTTTCTAAATGGACTTTTTGCTCCTTGAGAAACTGCAGGGCTTTATCAACATTCTCCAGGCAGTGGATTCGCATGCGCCCCTTAGTGGGTTTTGGCTGAGGGTAGCAGAGGAAAAAAAAAGAACTTTGTTGAAATTATTGAGCAAAGTACACAAATAAAAAGAAAGGGCGGCAGTAATTTCAAATGAGCAAAACAAGCAGACGCTAGATAAGTATATCAAGAAAGAAGAAATGGATGACATGATTCCTCCTTCCTCCTGACTGGTGGTGCAGGGTGAGGGTCATGTTCAGGTCGAGTTAGGGACAGAGAGGGGTGGTTCCCGTGTGATACTGACCAGCTGTTCTCCAGAGAGCACCTCCAGAAGGCGGATTAGCATGCGGCCATCGCGCAGGTCGGTGTACAAGTCACCAATGCGACTTGTGACTCGGCCTAGGTGAGAGTTTACCCATTTGGTAAAGGTCTTCTTCTGTACGGCTTCACGCTCATCTGCAAGAACAAACACGGGGGAGAAGGAGAAGAGGGGGGTGGGGGTTGAAGTTGATTTACACCGACAAGGGTACAATTGACTCCCCTGACTCAGACTCCACTGGCATCAATATCAATGCTGTCAGGGAGAATGAATATTTAGAATCAATTTGTCTGTTAACAAACATCAACAAACAGACTACTTAGATCCGCCCTGAGAGCACACAGGGGACGGTAAATCATACAAACTTCTTAAGCCCTTGTCCCGAGCAGTTCATTTCACAGATAAGCTATGCCATTAATTCTATAGGGTCACTGCATTGACAGCTTAGTGGGAGGATGTCACTCCTCAAACCAAAGTTAACTGGCTCTCGGCCCTCGTGTGCATTGCTAATTACTCTGATGATGTGGTTTTGGGAGAGAAAAGTGACGATGCAAAATTGCACATGAAGACAATGACATATGCTGTTTTTTAACTGGAGCAGGACTAAAAGAAAAAGAATCACGATAAATTAAGCTGTAACAGCAGCTCAGACATATGGACCAAGGGAGTAAGGAGCTAATCCTGCTTTGCCACCTAACAAGGTGACCTCATTTCTAGGACACAAGGTCTTCCTGCCTTGGAGAGCGCTATTCTAGCAAACACCCTCATCCAGACAGCAAATAGATCAGAGGAGCAGCTCTGTGATAATGAGATGACAAAATACAACTGACATGCATCAGTGTGAAAAGAGAAATCATGGTAAAAGACAAACGTATCTCTAAAAACAATGAGGAATCGGCTTGAGAGCAGCTTGTTGTGACAACATGAACCCAACCTCTACATCTTGTGGGCTTCATAAAAGTTTCATCAATCAGCCTCGAGGTGGGAAGGTACATGGAAACAAAGTATCCATCTCCCCATTTGAATTGAATATTTGTCAGTATTATTAGAGTATCTAATTTAAAAGAATACACAAATCCACATTGCATTTCTCTAAATCCAATACACATCTCATTCAGAACTCAAGGCTTGCAAATACAAACTACTGTAACATTTAATGCAACACTACCAGCCAGGTCCTTATATCTAGACAGTTCATGTAATGGAGGGATATTTTAAATGTCTGCAAGTTGAATATAGTCATACTAAAAGAAATCTACAAGTTGACAAAACATTGATGACAAAAAAAAAGAATGATTAAAATAAATCAGATCTTTCCTTTTCACTGAAAGTGATGGAACTTGTTTGAAAAACCATAAAAGAAAGTGGTTTACAACTTACTCTTAACTCACTTATGAAGCAATGGCATGTGACCAAAGCAAGCGTGTTGTGCAAATAACCACTTTACCAACTGTTTGCTAAAAAAGAAGATTTGGACATATCCATACGTATGGATAGGTATCCATCGTATCCATACTGTACTTCTCGAGAAGTAACCTGGCCTTGCAATATTTTAATGACCAGGATTACATATAGTTTGTTTATTTATTTTCCATCATCGTACAAATATGTCTTATGCATCAAGGCGGTTTAAAAGACAGGCCACACCTCACATCATGTTTTTCTCGTGGTGACTCAAAAAGGCTCCAAAAAGAAATCCAAAAACATCACTAAAAAGGTATGTTGCTATTCTAGCTCAGTGATAAAAAGCTACAGCACTGTGATCCCCCTTCCTTGTATGTATGTAGTACTATATTTATACTGTAGTATACATGCTCATAACTGTCTATTAGGGTGTCTTCTTGTGTAGGATAGTGGCAAAAATCCAAATGTTATATTCGCTGGTTCTTAACATCAACGTATCAGACAAGACTGCAAAGGAAGCACAAGCATTGTTTTCGAAAAGTAAAGTATCCCCTACTGATGTCTCACCCCGTCCTACCTCTATTATTTCCTGCTGGAAGGCTGGGTAATAATGGAGAGGGCACCTACATTACAGACAAAGAGTTCAACAGCTGATAAACGCAAAGACATTGAGGAGAACCGGTGCAAAAATACCCAAATCTAAAATTATAAAGACAAACTGGAAATGTTTGTTAAAAGCAGGTGGCTGTCATGGCCTACAGGCATATTTGGAAGGTTGGGGATGTGGCAGCAGGTCTTCTCTGCTATCCCAGATATCGCCCCTTCGTGTTCTGCACAGGAGCTTATCCTGGTTTACCGAAGCTCAAAAGGATGCCAGACAAACAAGAGAACGTTATGGCATCACACTCAAGACTGCTACCGTCAAAAAGCCCAGATCATTTAAGCCTGTGTGTCGATTACCGTAAAAGCCTTCGCTGGTCTTTTCATTTTTATCCCATTCTCATTTGAACATTCAAAGACTGCCTCACTAAATCTGCTCCGTTGCTCTTTCCATCGCTCCCACGCACCACGCCAACAGATTTCATTATTAAAAAGGGCCGCTACATGATTTGAAGCTGTTCAATGAGCCAGGAGGGGGATTACTGTGGCAGGTGAGGTATTAGTTGAGGAGTCTACATTCCTCCTGACACTTGGTCATGTTGGGACAGCACCCGGCCCCGAGGAGGAGGCAGGGGTCCCGAAGAAGATATGCTGCAACCTCGCCCCTGCTTCGCTGCTCATAACAAGGCTACTGAACGTCCACAAGAGACAGACCAACACAAAGAACATTCTCATTACAAACACAATACGAGGGGATAAGGCCAACAGACAACGTGACATTTATGGATTGTGTTTTAAGTGCAGGTGAGGATATCTCAACTGTGTTTGCATACCCCCGTCAATGGCCATAAAAAAAAACATTTTTTACACAACAGAAACTTGTTCAACAAGTAGGCGGTTGGCTGACGGCGAGACAATAAACCGCGACTATGTCTCATGTCACGCAAAATAATTGCATAGCAGGCAGACATTCTTACAGATCTACACAATAGACAACAATAGTGGAAGAATGTAAGCATTGTTGAGCAGGTCTATGAATTACTAGTTGGTTTTACTAAGCTTTGCATAATCGTAGTTTTTTTTTGACAAGAATAATCCTAAAGTAATATTTTTCACGCCAGCCTTTAAACATTATCAGTTTTCCACACACTAGAAATGCAACGTGCCACCGTAAGGGGCTGTAACCTGTAACCTTCATTTGAACACCATTACAAAAATACAATAATGTTATAAACTGGACTACACCTGTAAATCCTTTCACAGTATGTGCCTAAACAGCACTTTGGGGCTAGAGTTAAATATATTCTCATTTAAATTCAATAAAAGAGAGGATTCTAAACTCCCTCCAACTATCCTGGCAGTTTGCGTGTACTGCTTGAGCTGGTTTCTGTGTGAGGGAGGAACACAAGCGATTAGAGTTTCTGATGCCATGTTTTTCCCCCGTTGTTTACTAATGACAGATCAGAACTAGTGGTTACAGGCATCGCCGATGTTTTAAAAACATATTTGGGCATGTCCAGTCACTTGAAATAGGCTTTAGGTATCCCTTAAGGCGAGGGGGGGGGGGGGGGCAGAGCGGGGTGTCTATCAAAGACACCGGGATTTTGCACGTTGTTCGTTCTATTTAATCCTCAAACAAAACTTTGCCACTGTTGATAACGATGATTATCTACAGGTAATCGGAGCACATACGCCACCAGACTTAATACTGTCTGTCTGTGTGGTTCATGGAGGCTACGATCAAATTTGGTGATAAAATGGAGACCGATGGAACACAATGAATTGTGGGGCCAATGCTAGTTCATATCGATAAAGGAAAGCAATATCTCATTACAGCTACTCACGCTAGATGTAGTTTATGAAAAAGTCTTGGCACTAATTTATTTTATGGGATGGTTGGAACAAAACCAAGACCTCGGGTGTTGGTTTAAATGCCGCCTGCGGGCCACTGAACATAGGGAGGCAACGAGAGGCCCGGCTGAACACACGTCTCTCTAATCATCAGCTGTATTGTTGCATTGATGCCATGTTTTAATATTTGGTGTGAAACAATGTACATCTATTGTATTGTGATCTGAACATATGTGCTGCTTTGCTAAAACTCTGGTGAGTAAAATGAAGGATTGATTCATTCCGTGTCAGAGTGTGTTGTGTGATGGGGGGGGGGGCATGGCGAGTCAGAGACCTCCCGCTGAGCCTATTTGAGTTTCCCCACGTTTCTCACCCTCTTCTCAGTGAACCCACCATCCCTTGTGTCGTGTTGCATGACGCTGCACTTTGGCTCCCAGTGGCGTCACAGCGCAGAGGACGAGGAGTGACTCCATCCATAAATAGCTTATCATGGTACGCACTTCACACAACAGCAACAAATGCATGCTGCATATTTTTGCCCACTTTTCATCCACTTTCCACATTTCCATGACACCACATTCACTGTCAAATATTACAAACTTCTTGTTATTTTCTTGCTGAAACGGGCACGAAGCTTTCCAAGGAGCTTCAGCAGAAACACGCTGATAATCATGGAGTGCTGGCGACATGTTTTTTGTTGTACCTGGGTTGAAATGCCCTTGCCATTGAGCTTGCGTAATGAAAGCCTTCGCTGGCCCCGTATTCTAAAAGAATAAGCAAACCGCTTCCATCAATCTGGCTGCTTAAATCTGCCTTAATGACCTTCTTTCGGTCATTCCCTCACAGACATGATTTTGGTTGTGTGCCAAAGGGCAAAGAGAACATAGAGTGAAACAAGTGACCCAGCAACCAACAATGTGATTGATGTGTATGTACGGGTGCGTACGTGTGTGGGAACATTTTGGTCTGGCACTAAAGGTCTAACACGTTTTGGTACATCTGGATAAAGGCATTACCTGGTATCTCTCAATGTAATCCATCTGATATCTTGAAGAGATCAGGCGTCTCACATATTTGTTGCGTTACTGGCAACATTCCGCACACAAAAGAACACGGTTAAAAAAAGTTCAACCTTAATTCACAGTCAAGGTTACAAAAAATGAGAATACAAATATGTCTCCTTTAAAGGGCGAAAATACAAACTTGACTTCCTACTGTTATGCTGTTTGAGTCACTCAGTAGAGGACGACCTTGACATCTTGAATTTGAGTCTGTTATATGT